TATCTTGAGCAGCACTTTATACCTCCACTTAGAACTTGATTAGTCACGAACAATAGAATCATTATAAATCAATACAATAAAACATCTTGATCAATAAATGCCTAGCAGCACCAGACAGCAGCCGTGTACCTTTTTCGACTCCACGGAGTCCCTGATGGACTTTTGTTTACTTTTGTTAATAATTTGACCGCAACCTTTCTTTCTCGAAACACAAATCCTACTGTACTTCATTACAGTATTAAGATAATATAAAGCAAATCATGTGAATATATGACTACGAAATAGATCTATAGACTTGTCCATAATATTTAATACCGTATTGATGGTTTTGAATTTTGTATATATTGAATTTTAATGTGAAGCGTTTACTCTTCCCCCTCGGCAATTAATTAGAAAGTTAGATTAATGACAACAATTGCCAAATGACGTAGTAGATATAGATGTTCAATGTTGTAGAGTGATTTCAAGAGTAGTGGTCCACAGGGGCCCGAAAAAGCCGTACAGGCACTTGGGTCCTTATCCTTGTCACTAGTCCCAATTGGATTCACTTTACACAAAACATGAACGTTTACAATTTAGACGTACACATTGGCACGATATTTATTAGAAAGCAAACAGTATAAAATAATACGTGCGTGCGCGGCTTGAGCCGCGCCGCATAAAAATTTATGCGTTTAGGGGCTGGAGTACGCGTGTTTACAAATTAATGAATTGTTGCATTGTAAATATTTAAAGTTGACGATATATTATGATTTAATAGTAAATTTTTCAAAGCTGGCTTTGGACTTAGGTAAAATTATAATTTATTTATTTAAAAGAAAAAACCACGGATAGTTTTAAATTTACATAGTCGTATAACTATAATCAAGTTAATCCTGTTTTCAAGAATGCGCGGCTTTGGCGGCCAGTTATTGACTTGTACATAAAATTGAATTTTAAATAGAATTGTGAATGTATTAAAATTTAAAACTTTCAAAACGGAGGCTTATAAATATTATTATATTATGATTGTAAAATAAAGGATAAAATTTTAAATTTGTTTCACTAAAAAATTTGTTTCACTATATAAATGCAATAATAGATGTTGCAGCCGAAACAATATGACATATAGTTAAATCTAGAAGTTGTGTTTACAGTTTAACAACCCATGTTTATGATAATTATTATATTCCTATCACTAGATCGTTGCTCTGTTAATTCACAGAGCAACAATCTGGAAGAGTTTGACATCGTCAATCAATTATATCCACAATTATCATATATAGTGTTTCTCAAACCCACATTTCAGACATGAAACATGGTTGGAGGCCGTACGTTCAACCACGAACCTTGCTTCGCGTGCATGATCAAGCTTGCTTCACTTTGAGATCGTTAACGGGTGATATTTGTAAAATAATTAGGCTGCCAGACTTTGGGGCCGAAGTGATATGATCCACCATATACGTCATCAAGTAATTAACATGCAAGCTTGAAGCTTGTGGCGTATAATTAGTGATGTGATCCATGGATTGAATATAATTGACCTAGAAATGGGCTAGATCTGGGGTAAAGTTCATATGACAACTCTGCACACAGAAGCTACAAATTAAGAAGTGAACATGTTTTAAATTGAGACAATGTATTGGCTGGTTATAAAATGTTAAATCGATTAATAATATAATACTTCAGAATACAACAAATTACTCAATATTATTACCAAAGTATTTCGCAACAGCGAACAAGTACTCAATCTTTGTTGGGTATGTCGTGTAGAAGGAACAAAGGTCGTACAGAATACTGCTGGAAATCCTCTTCTTTTTGGAAGGAGTCTTTCCAACAGCAAGCCGATCCAGATGGTAATCTGTAACAACCTGTTGCTCCTTGATAGCACGAAAATATTCTTGAACAGAGGGCTTTGGGCGATTCACTCGGGTTTTGAAACCTCTGTGAAACCCCTCCACCATGTTAGAGGTCCGAGGGAACTCCGGATCCTGAAGAATACTGGCGAAATGATTCCAGAACTCTAAAGGATATGTGGGAGGAACCCTCACCTCACTGTCTACAATGGCTGACCCTAAGTAAGTTTTCTCGAAATAATTCACTACAACCATCAACTCAGGATAGTTAGATTGGATGTAGAAAGTTATTTCAAAGAAAGCCTCCTCAACATCAGCTATTGGGACAAAAGCTAAAAAAGCAACCAGCCTTGCGGCTCTCGCAAAAATCTTATCCTTAAAATATCTAACTTTAAATTTTTTGCTGATGTTCTTCTGAACAGACTGACAGAGATGGAAGTAACAATTGGCAACGTCCCATCCTGGCAGAATGTCCCGAAATGAGTCTATAACAGCTTTTTCAAAATCTATAAGAACAGTACCAGTGTCAGTTGGACAATTCTGGTCAAAGAAATACTTAATCACACTCAAAACATAACTATAGGTGTCTCCTTTCTTATCACCAGTCAAAATATAAACTAATGGTAGACATTTGTTTTCTATCACCGAATGTATGGTGTAACTTTGGGGAAATATGCTATGATTCTCACATCTCGGTCAGTCTTCCCATCAAAGAGGATAAATGGTTCTTCTTCTCTGAAACCGTTGAGGAACTTGGAGAAGGTAGGCATGACTGTTGATAGAATTAAATGCGATACTACTACCTTCTATCACCCAATATTTATACCTAGAACACTAGATCGGCTCACTCCCCTTGCAAGCCTTTGACACGTACGTCTCACATCCCTTGATACGAGAACCCCCCTTTAGCAAGAGCTCCCGTCCCTTATGTGATCTACGAGTCGAGCAGTCAGATCATGTTTACTTCTTAATGAACAGCTATGTTGTACAGAATTGACATGTGAACTCTACCCAGTATCTAGCCTATTTCTGGGCCAATTAAATTCTACAGATGGATCACATCACTAATTATACGTCACTAATTGGTGACGTGATCTGACTCCTCTTTGGGGGCCGGATCAGTTTTCGGCCCCAAAGTCTCCCAGTGAATAATTATACCAAATATTGACCGTCAATAAATCCAAATCGGCGGCAAATCCAACTCGGCTAAATCATAAACAAATAAAGTATTATATGTGGTTGCTCTATCCAGAGCTTACTGGGCGGCGCTCAGCCTGTCATTCCGCCGAATCTTTATTCGGGCTGAGTGAATTACGACTTCCATCGCCCTGAAAAAAGTGCGAATGCTCATTGGATGTTAGAGCGCACGTGACTCGCATTCACGTGATCGTTCAGAACCAATTACAGCCGCGCAAAAGATCACGTGCACGCCAACTACAAACTACCAATAAGAAAGAAGTGACGTATGCGCTACAAGAGCCGCGCGCTGAGTTAGATTGTAAAATCTGATTATTTGATTGTCAAATCGCATAAACGCGCCTAATTGCGCGTTTTAGAGGGTTCAATTACGCCAGGCTGTGTTTATGAACATAAAAGCCTGGGGTCCTCAGGTAATCCAGAGCCCTCTCGCTTGCAGTGGTATATAGAGAGCGACCGTTAAACAAGCGCGTCACGCATTAATTGTCGATGTCAATTCATTGCAGCTCGGCGCGGCACAGTAGCGCATCTCGCCGATCTAGCGAGAGGAGCCTCATTGAGTGCGCGGCACAGTACCGCATCGCGCTACAAGTCACGCAGTACGGGTAAACTCATGGCTAGGTGAGGGCTTGGGTTAGAGCAATAGTAAGCCCATTTCAATCTATTCCACTTCAAATAACATAAGTTACTTTAATTGCCTAACCCTAACTCTAACCCTAACCTTACTCGTAAAATATTTGTTTCAAATATTAGGACCGCGTTGAAGAATCCAACTTTGAACTCAACACGCGTTTTGGTAAGTTATAAACCTGCAAACCTTACCTGGCCTGGGGACCCCAGGCTATAATGTTCATAACCCTAACCCTAACATTACCCCTAGCTTGCTAGCATGCTTGATTCACAGTGTTAATCTTTCGCAGTTCGGTGATGCCCAATAGTGTATTTTGCCGATCTACTGTGGTTGCGATAAACATCATTTGACAAGCACGCGCGTGCACGGCGCGGTCCAATAGTGCATTGCTTGCACTACAAGTTACATGTTAGTCTATTGCTCGCTTCTCTCGCGTACATGAATCTTGAAAAGAGCACACAGGGATTGGCGAGTCATGGCTGACGTAAATATGCACGTAAACCCTTACTGGTATGGGCGGCGCTCAGCCTGTCATTCATCATTCCGCTGAATCTTTATTATGAACATAATGATAAATATAATTATATAATTGATGATAGCCTGGGGTCCCCAGGTGAGTTGCTTTAACCAAAGCCCTCTCGCTTGCAGTAGCGCGCGACCGCCGGAGGCGGTCTTGTGAAACAAGCGCGTCACGCAGTACGCGTAGGCACATGGCTATGTGAACCAGGTGAGTAAACCCTGACCCTATTATATACTATACTAGCCCTTGCTCTATCCAGGGCCCTCTCTGTACTGTGTACTGCTCTGATCGCTTCCAGTAGCGCGCTTGCTCTATCCAGAGCCCTTGCGCTTGCAATAGCGCGCGCCCGCCTCACGGTTTTCTTGACTTGTGAAACAAGCGCGCCCGAAGTGGCGCGAAAGCACATGGTTAGGTGAATACTATAGCCCTACCCTATCCAATATACAATAACTAGACTGGGGTTTACCTGGGGACCTCAGGCTATCATGTTCATAAACAATAAAACAACAGAGATTAGGCGGAATGACAGGCTGAGCGCGGCCCAGTAAGACTGGGGTGGGTTTCTTTTTTTTTTCGTTTGTAAAGAAGGACAAAAATTAGCGAGTTTCGTCTTAGCGCCATATTGAGTGACGTTCCATAAACAATAAATGACGTGCCATTACATGACGCGCCACAAGTGCATTATGGAGCCACAAGTGGCTGTAATATAATGTCTGATGATTGGATATGCTCAAACACACCATTAATGATTAATACTATAATACTAATACTATAATACTAAATAAAAGTCTGCTGTTTTATTTAACGAAAACAATAATTTTTCTGGAGAACAGAAATTAACATGCATGATGCACTATTTTGTATTTCAATCGGTCGTTTTGATGTAATTTTCACAAGTCTTCTTATCTTAATATTATGTCTACAACAAATATAAGTATAACAAGGGTATTAATTGACTAGTCCGAATGCAGAAACCTACTTCAAAAGCAAAAAGGGCGCCTTCATACAAGTTTATCACTTCTACAATTTTATTTCAAGAATACGGGTTTCCTTAACTCTTTACACTTTAATTGACAACAATTTTTCTCTTTAAAGGAAGTCCTACCGGTACGTTTTGAAACCACTACAATTCAGTGATTAAACCTTGAAATTTATATCAAAGGCAAAATAAGCACTCTCACACTTTCAAGTAGATTTGAAAAAATTACCATTTATTTGGTTTTTAAACTACAACTTTTTGTGACGGAGTAGAGCGCGAGAACAATAATTTACAAAATGTAGAACTTATTTTCTTGAAATATTTGTCAAGATATCATGTGGACAAAATAACTTAGGACCGATTTTGAAATTTTAACATTTTTTATAAAATAATAACGTTACTTCTAAAAAAGTTGTCCATGCCAAGATAATAAATTGTGGTTAAACTAAAATAAACCGAGGTGGAATACCCGCTCATTCCATTATAAAACAAGCCATGTACAATGTACAATGTACAATGGTACATCTATAGTGTATAGTGCGCCGATTTTTCAGAGGTTTTCAGTTAGATCATCTGATCAAAATACACATAACATCAATCCCACTTTCAATCAATTCTAGCCTAGTAGTATCGGGCACAAGACTCTCTAATGGACCCTCTAATATAATTATCGGAGATCTCAACCGCCGATTAGAAATCGGTGCACTATAACATTATTATACAACTAAACTGAGTCCGACAAATTGAGAACAGTGTGAAACAACTGTCAATGTGACCATCTCAAATCGGGTTATTGATTAATTAATTAATTGATTAACATTAACTTTTATCAGTGTTATATATTAGCAGAAATAATCGGCAATATTTCAAACTCACACTTCTCAATTAGTAGAAAATGTATTATCAGTCACATTCCTTACACTCCTGTTAAGAAACGCGCGAAAGTAACAGAATAGCTAGTATGTTTAGAGTTCTAGCTAGTAAATTTAGAGTCCTAGTTGATAGATTAGATCTGTCAGCAGACAAGACCCTCGATCTCGTCTGAATCGTCAGTGTTTAGCTTTACTATCTCTTTGTTGAAGTAATTCTGAAACATTTATATCATATATGCGATATTACAAAATATTTGTATGCGATACTATAGAACATTTAAAAGTTGTAGGGAGGGGGGCGCAAACCCATGCCCACCTCCCCCAACATCTGGTCAAATGGGCATGGGAATTGATGGGCAAAGCCCTAAAAGCAACTACAACTTAAGTTATGATAAAAAATAAACATCAGGTCATCGTGTTGGCAAACATACCTACAGCCCCCCCCCCTCGAGTACACTGTATATACAATTTAAATTCGTGTACCTGAATCTGTTTGATCATCCTTAGGGTTTCCGCGTTGTCCACAAAGTTAATAGCTATACCCTTCTTACCAAACCTTCCAGTCCGACCTATTCGGTGTAAATAGGTTTCCATATCTGGGGTCCCTGAGATTATTCACTGTGTTAGATGTGTGATAAACTGTGGTAGAGATATGTTAGAAATATCAAATATGTAAGAGATATGCTAGAAATATGTTAGAGCTGTGTCTTACAACTGCAGTGTAAAATGAGGGTCACACCGTTATGTAATAGATAGAAACAGTTAAGCAAGACGAAAATGAAAACAGATACTGAAGTAATGTGGAACTACCTGAACCATGGACAATAGGCAGATCGAAGTTAATAACAACTGTGACCTGCTCGATGTCGATCCCACGTGCACAAACGTTAGTGGTAATCAGAACTTTCTCTCTTCCCTCGCGGAACCTGGGGTATAGGTGGAGGTTACAACAGAGTCTTGCAGTGTGACGTCATGTCACGTGGTTTGACGTCATATCACGTAGTATAAAGTCATGTCACGTGGTATAAAGTCATGTCACGTGGTGTCACGTCATGTCACGTCACGTGGTTTGACGTCATGTCACGTGGTATGAAGTCATGCCACGTGGTGTGACGTCATATCACGTAGTATAAAGTCATGTCACGTGGTATAAAGTCATGTCACGTGGTGTGGTATATTACCTGTTTAATGTAACCAGCCTATCCTCTATAGAGATATCTGATGTTAACATAGCCACTGCATGACCATCTTCAGCCATCTTCTTCAACAACCATGTAGCTGTTGTTTTCATCTGAAAATGCCATGATGATGATGACGTCACAGTAGATGCTTGGTAAGATTAAAAACGGTGTTCATTTTCTTTGAGGATGATTTGAGGTTAAGGGGGGGGGGGGGGGGGGGGGACAGGTGGAACGTGTCCAGATAATGGTTACCCTAGAACTTTGATAGAACTTTTAAGAACTTACATACCGTAGTGGTTCACTATAGACAGAGACTGATAAAGAAATCAGCCAGTCATTATTCTTCGGTATTTAACATATTTTGGTAATTTAACATACAAATAACGGGCCCACACAGGTTTATTGTTCAAGGCCTATAATTTTTTGTAATTTTACAGATTGTTTTCTTTGTGTTACACAGTTAAAAAGCTCTGACACTGCACGCACCTTACAGAATATCATAGTCTGTCCGATTGTTATTGTACCGTAGATGTTACACAGGGACTCGTACTTCTCACTCTCGTTGTTGCACATCACCTGAAGGAAGAGCAATTAATTAGCTAATTGAATAAATGATAAATTAGATAATTCGCAGATTAACTTAATGTTGAATCAAAGTATTACACGGTAAGGAATTAAAGGAGATAAACTAAACACCAAGTAAAAACCAAGTAAAAACCAAGTAAACTCAAACTAATCTTACATAGAACTGTTTGATGGTGTCTAAAGACTGTTCTTCTCTTTTCAGTTTTATCAGTATTGGGTCTGGTATGACAGTCTGAGCGAATCTCATGACATCTTCCTCGTATGTTGCGGAGAAGAGAAGACATTGACAGCGAGGATCTAGCGTTCTGAAAGGATGAAAATATGTAAGATATGTGATAATATGTAAGATATGTGAAATATGTAAGATATGATGTGCAAATAAGCTCTAGACCCTGGCCGGAAATACGGTTCACGTACTGTAGTGCGACACGTACCCTAGTGCGAAACCTCCAAGATCGACACTGTCGCACTAGAGTACGCTACCTGGATCGTAGTGCGACACGTACCCTAGTGCGACAGAGAATTTTCAAGGCCGACACTGTCGCACTACAGTGCGCTACTTGGACTGTAGTGTCACTCATGACAGATTGAGGGTCGACTCCAAATGCAAGGAGCTCATCCAAGAGGGCTTCATAATGAGCCTGTGTCTTTCCGGGGAGTAAGCCGAATGCAAGGCGAATTCAGTGCATCGCCAGTAGGTCTTGTCGTCGCGCTTCTTATCCAGGAAGTAGCGGTATCCGTCGTGGATAACGTTTCTTGAACCAGTAGTGCGTCCAGAAATGAAGATGATTGAAGAAGACATGTTGATGTTGTTCGATGCTTTGGTAGAATCATCGTGACCTTATATATGGCCCAAGCATATGTACTTGTTATCCCAATCGGAGATATACGATGCGTGTAATAGGAAAGAGGATCATATGCTGCTTACGAGTTACCCGGTGGATCACACACTGCATACGTGGCTTGAACTGACCCGAAGGAATTATGATCAGTGGATCACTTCGAAACACATGATGTGAACCGACGAATCGTATTCGCAAGATCACTTCAAAATAAGTGACGTGAACCGACCCGACAAATCCATAAAAAGGATAGGATGTGACCTGAACTTGGAAATAAGTCAGGATATTTTGTCGCACTAGAGTACGCTACCTGGATCGTAGTGCGACACGTACTGTAGTGCGACAGAGGGTGTTTTTGTCGGACTTCGCACTAGAGTACGTGTCGCACTAGAGTACGTGTCGCACTACAGTACGATTACCGGAAATACAAAGAAGAAAATCTCAGTGTTATCGACTGATGCAATCAGACCGTAGATGGCGTGATGACCATGAAGATGCCGGCTTTTTAACTCCTCGATAGGTTCAAATATCAGATATATTGATTTCTGTTTCTTGAAAACTGAGAATCTTAATCTCTCTAGACTCCAGCAGACAGCCTATCTCCTATTGCCGGGCTAGAAGTAACCAAAGAAAACTAGTAAAATACAACTTGCCAAAAACGTTTTCGCACCCCGCTTTCCAAACTTACGTCTTACATTCTCAATAATTAACAAACAAACAGTTAATAAACTAACTTCTTGATTAACTTAATCAATGAACTAACTTCTTAATTAACTTAATTAATAACTAACTTCTTTATACGGATGCTCTGCTCCTGATGGCCCTGCTGGGAAACCATAACATCAGCCTCATCCAACACAAACACTCTCAACTGCCTCGGATCAAAGAACTTCAGTTTGAAGACCCAGTCAACTGTGGTTCCCGGGGTTCCCACTATAATGTGGGCTCCTATCCTTGTGCCTCGTGCATCTGAAGAGATAAGGGGTCAGGTGACGTTGTTTCACGTGCTATGACGTCATATAAGATAGTGCCGCCCAATACAATATTTAAAAGTTCTACAAATTTAAGAAATGGTGAAAAAACAGCTAGGTTGATATCTTATCGTACAGTTTTCTACAACTATCGACGGCTTCTTGAGGCAGAGATCCGAATTACAGAAAAACAGTCAGAAGCGTCTGATTTCTCTGTCCAATATGTTAGATGAAGGTGCCACAAAATTGGTCAGGAGCTTTGTCACATTGATAGTTTCACAATTTGCTTAAAAAGCATCCTTCTCTTGACTGCAATATGTATCCCACGTTTCAACTTGGTCTCAGTTCTTAAATAAACTTCTGCATAGTTTTATCCTTTTTGCCTCGACATATTATATAATATTTCCACTTTATATACCACTTTATGAACAGATGAACACCACTTTATGAACAGATGAACATTTAGTTACTTATTTGGGAGTTACGAAACGCCGTCGCGTGCGGTTCATTCAACTCGCGCGAAATCAAAAATGTGAAGATTTAGAGGCTTGTCGTGTTTTTGTGTCTGCGCGCGTTACGTATACGTGAATTTACCCGCTAATTTGCCACTGCGCCAGCATGGCCAAGTTACGACACATTTCTTAAACTTACATCTTTTGCCTCTGATAGCATGTTCCACCACTATCTCTGTTCTGGATGCCATCCTCTGTAACACTTCCCCGATTTGTAATGCTAGCTCGTACGTTGGTGCTAAAATTAGAGCCTGAGATTTTGGGAGGATTCTTTTGAGTGATAATAAAACGGTTTACACGTTACACGCAGCAAAATGCCTTGTGACTAAAAATGTACAGCCCATGGCACTGAATTGTTTATTTCATTCCTCAAACTAAAGGAAAAGTATTGAGAAATAATCAGGCTAATTTATGAGCAAAACGTTACTTCAACCTTTTGCCTATTTTCGAACCCACAAAATCAAAATATCATTACCTGTGGATATTTAGCAGCCTCATCTATCCTGGATAAAGTAGCCAGAACGAAAGCTGCTGTTTTCCCTGTCCCACTTTGTGACTGAGCAATCATGTTCTGGGGCCTGAAATATTTACTGATAAACTGCTGAATAAAATTTGACTTTAATTAATTATTAATTAACGTAGTCTCCAGAATAAGGGGTTTTTCAAGGACCAAGGTATGTAAAATTCTATCCTGATTCTTATATTCCTTAGTATAGTTCACATCTGAATTTCATACTCCACTGCAAAGTCCCATTTACCTGTCCCCAACCCCCACCCCCAACCCTGCACACCCCACCTCTAAATAACGAGAGGCTCCTTAAAGTTGCCAGTACTCTTCCTATCGCCCTCCGTGGTACCCCTCCCCCTCTCCTTCTCCAACTCCACCGCCTGGGGCTCGGTCCGCTGGCTGCCCCGTGACTTTATGAAGTACCAACAACGAAATAGGATGAGCAGGACTACAAATGCTGCGATTGTGTAAACACAGAGGGAGATGAACCGCTGCCCCTTATCGTCCATTTGTCATTAGACTGTGGGTATTTAGTGGTGGTAGGGACTGGTAGTTTATAAAGAGTAACAGGTACTTGTTAACAGGGGATAGTCGAGGCACAAAGATCAGCAATTATACAGGGGTATGGTTTCAAACTATTTCAAATGAGTCTTAGAGTTGAATAATAAAAGTAAACTTAAAACAACTTTACCATCACAAAATAATATATTTAATGACAAAGTAACGGTATCAAGGCAGTTACAAGGCAGTTACAAAGCAAGGATTGAGTTTAAGGGGAAATGAGAGCAATATATCCTCCGAGAACAGGTCTAACTTTTAATAAATCCATGAAGTAGAATTTTATTGCTTTTCTGTCGCAGTATGAAGGTTTTATTAATTCATTTACGTGTTGAGTGCCAGTTTTATTGAAAAGTTGATTTATTTATAGACCTTTTAGAATGTTCGGGCTCATGTATCTGCAGAATATGTATTTGAATAATATTTTATCAACTTTTACTTCAATCTTATCAAAAATGTCATTATCCCCGTCATAATGAGGCCATATTTGACGTATTCTGACGAATCAACATGCCGGTCATTCTCCCCGAACAGAGAATCTCAGGTTCAAGATCAAACTAAACAGTAAAATAAAATAAGAATGGAATTTTGTAAAAACTAACTTACGGATCACACATGAGCATGGGAAGAGCTGTCTCCTGAATCTTACTAGGCTTGTTGAACCCCATACCATATACACCCTCTAACAGAGATGTCTTCCTGGAGTGACATTATCTTCGTTAAGGGAATTATACCTCAATAGGAAGGGCATGCACATAGATTATGTAATTGTGATTTTGTAGAACGGGTCAATATTGTGGGATATGGAAAATTGCCAGAACTAAACGCTTTTAATTGACTTAATTTACTGTATAATATCACTTGGTTTAATAAACCTTCTAAAAAGTAAATCATTAAAACTTATTAAGATCTCACAGTTTGAGCTCCTCAAATGTTTTTACAGAGTATAGGGGTGAGTTAGGGTCCCGCTGCTGGATCTCTACTTCCGTTTTCGACTCAACTAGCTGACTCCGCAATACTTTTGTAAAGAAGGAGTTCTCTGCTTTCAACTTCTCTGAACAGTTGAAGGAGTATTGAATGGAAATCAGGATTAATTTTAAATTATAAAGTTATTAACAATATGTTCGCTAAAATATTGGATGAAATATTAACAGAAAAAAAAACAGGCAAACTTCTCTGCTTTCAACTTCTCTGAACAGTTAAAGAGTTAAGGGGTTATCGAATGGAAATTTGATTTTTAATTTTTAATTCACGCTAAGTTATCGACAAAATTTTCGCTCAAAGGTGGATGAAATATTAGAATATTTTAAACAGGCAAAAAAACTGACCAGGGTCCTCAGAGGGATTTTCAGGTGTGTTCTCTGTAGCAACAGCAGCAGCAGCAACAGCAGCAGCTGCAGGGGCAGGGGGTGTTGGTTCCTCTGACTTGTTACTGTCTTCTGTGATGTGTATCTTATCTACCTCCTTCGCTATCGCCACATCTGTTTCCTCTAATAGGTTGGCCCAGTCCGCCATTTTTAAAACCCTGGCCCTGGCTTACATAAGTAGTTTATTTTAATTAAGTTTTCGGTAAAAATTGATGTAAGTTTTTGAGCAGAGAACATTTTTTAAGTCGCACTGTCGCTGATCGATAGTCGTGAATGATTCGAAAAAATTATCTTTCAGCCTAGGATTCTTAGAGAGAATTTCAGATACATAGTGAAACAGACCAATAAAACAAATAGTTTGAATAAAGTAAAATTGTTATATTCAACATGTCGCGGTTGGTTTTCATGATTAAATCGGAAAAAAAAGTTAATAAATTACAGTGCACTGAAAACCCGTCATAATCACAGTATTTATAACAGGCGTCATCTCACTGGTGCATGATCCCATCGTAATAAAACCTAAACAGAGTCCCATCGCCTCCAGCTCCATCAACATCAGCTAAAATAAGACCAAACATGGGGTGGTTCCATTTAAATACTAGATTTGATGTCGCTTCTTCCTCTCTTTTCCCGGACCTGAAACCTCCCTCTTCTTCATATCAAAGTGGTTGGTCTGAGCTTTAACCCCCATCTTGCTCCTCCTTTTGTTCGTTCTGTTCTCCCTCTCTGCTTCTCTACTTCTCTTTATCGTCGCTCCCAGTTCCTTGTTGGCTGCTTTTTCTTTGTTCACAGAAACACCACCACTGGCTATCTTGTTGATGAGAGCTAGGGATTTCTCTTTTTCGGAGGCGGTGTTACCCGAGACTGGGTCGAATTTCTTGTGTTTTCCTTTCGCTTTTGCTTTTTTTTCGTCTTTTGATTTTTCTTGGAATTTGCCGAGGGATGCGGTTGATATATTAGCTTGTTTAACAGTTTGGTTGATTGATTCTGATTGTACTTTAATTTGTTTGGAGATGTTTTGAAGGCGTTGGAACTCGTTTTTAGCGACCTTCTCCTTTGTTTTATCCTCTTTGTCACCCAGCCAGTCTTTGTAAGGGTCTCCATTTCCGGGTACCTGGGAGAATGTAATGTCAAATAAATACAAAGAAAACCCAGATGAGAAGTGAATACATATTATATACCACTAATGTATTATATATAATGTATAATGTATATATGTATATAATGTATTATATACCACGCTACTACCAGCTTAATCAACTGGTCTACCTGGCTACTTGGTACCCCTACTTATTGTAACCCCCACCCCCAAATGCAGATTGTTATTGTGTTCTAATTTTTAAATCACCCATGTCCCATACTCCCCGGTTTTCGCCCTTCCCTTTTCCATCTAAAATTATAATGTACACTAAACAGTAATCAGTAAACACTTCTCCACTTTTTTCTATCTAAAATTTAAAAAGTTCACAAAAAAAGTACACCAAAGTACACAAAAAGTACACAAAAAGTACACAAAAAGTACACAAAAAGTACACAACAAGTACACAATACACATTGCCTAACCTCGACCACCCAGTTTTGTTCCTTGTCACCTCCCGCCTTGTTGTAACCAAACCTCGGTTTCCACTCCTCAGCAACCTCATCGTATAGCATCCTGCCTCTCTTTTTCTTGAGAATACCTGTAAAAGGGGTTTAACAACTCAACAACCACCGGTACTGGTACATCTGTGTGTACTTATCACAACAACCACCGGTACTGGTTGATCTGTGTGTACTTATCACAAAACCGAATCTATAAAGCATTATAAAAACCAAGATAAACTACATCACGAAGAGGTAATTAAATAAGATAATAATTATAAGATAAGACGACTAACCCTTGCTCTTAGCGAAGGCCTCCCATTTAGTTGGTAGTTTAGGTTTAGGGATGGGCTTCTCTCGGGGTAGTTTCGTAGTGGGAGCAGGTAACTGGACACATTTCACTTTCTCTACTGTGGAGGTGGGTAGGGAGAAGAGGGAGTTGAAGAGAAGTTGGGTGTTTTCTCTTGTTAGCTTCTGAAAATGTCATGTTGTGTGATATTGTGATATTGTGATATTCTGATAGTGAAATAGCGTGATTTAGTGATATTCTGATAGTGAAATAGCGTGATTTAGTGATATTCTGATAGTGAAATGGTGTGATTTGATCTCCTTGAGAAACTGATAATACAATAGAACTATAGAAAGATACAATAAATACATCGATGGCAAAATGAGCAATAGAATAGAGTATATAAGACTAAATATACCACGTACCAATGCAAAAGGTAAGCATATAACTATAAGACTAAATATACCACGCACCAGAAGGTAAGCATCTCTAGCTTTTCCTTGCCCTAACGTTGCCATCTCAACAGGAGCCATGTCGAACGCAGTGAGATTTCCTACATCCAGTGTCAACGGGACTTCTTTGTCAACCTGAACAGAAGAAGAGATGTTAATAAATCACTGCAGCTAGGATATACCCACAGGAAATCGGTATTGTTATGAAAATAAACTGGGTTCTTTGGTTTAAATGGTAGGAAGATAATTAGGAATACATTATACAAATAAAGCATTACAAGATCACGTTTACCTGGATGGATCTCCCCGTAGACTTTAACAACTCGTCCACATTTATAGTGCTGACTACCATAGGAGCATCCTGGGTTGCAAGGGACGTGGCTAACATCCTGTACTGTTAGGAAGTGTTAGTATTTATAACATCCTGTACTGTCAGGTAGTGTTAGTATTTATAACATCCTGTATTGTTAGGTAGTGTTAGTATTTATAACATCATATACTGTTAGGAAGTGTTAGTATTATTAACATCCTGTACTGTTAGGAAGTGTTAGTATTTATAACATCATATACTGTTAGGTAGTGTTAGTATTTATAACATCCTGTACTGTTAGGTAGTGTTAGTATTTATAACATCCTGTACTGTTAGGTAGTGTTAGTATTTATAACATCCTGTACTGTCAGGTAGTGTTAGTATTTATAACATCCTGTACTGTCAGGTAGTGCTAGTATTTTAAATAACATCCTGTACTGTCAGGTAGTGTTAGTATTTATATAACATCATGTACTGTTAGGAAGTGTTAGTATTTATAACATCCTGTACTGTTAGGTAGGGGGACTTTTTAGCGTTTAAAATCTTCGTACGTAAATACGATCAAGAGAGACGTTTTTTTTTCAGATTAAAGAAAATATGCAACGTTTCACTGTAACTAAATCATAATATAAATTCGTGTTTTTAAACAAATTTTAATCAGAAATTCAAGGTGATGTTAGATTTGATATTATTGTTGTCCAACTTCCTGTGGGGGATTCCAGGATTCCAGGAGGCTGTTAGCAAATTTTGGCAGGAGAACCGGGAAGAAAAATACTTCTGAAACGTAAAAATCGGGCCTTCACAATTTCTTGATCAGTTATAAAACGATAATACTTTAACATTGCAATTATTTCATTAGTTATAAAACGATAATACTTTAACATTGCAATTATTTGTTTTAAAACATCGAATTTCACAAGACATAATTTAAGATATGGATTGAATATAAAGAGTGCTTGCAATTACTGGTTCTCTTCCACGTGACTTTTCTTATGAATTGTGAGGTGACTTTTTTTAACACTAGAAAATGAACATTCCTTGCACTTGTAGGGTTTCTCTCCTGTGTAAGTCCTGTTATGACTTGTGAGATTATCTTTCCGAGCACAAGAAAATGAACATTCCTTGCACTTGTAGAGTTTCTCTCCTATGTGAGTCCTGTTATGACGTGTGAGATTATCTTTCCGAGCACAAGAAAATGAACATTCCTTGCACTTGAATGGTTTTTCTCCCGAGTGAGTCCTCTTATGTCTTATGAAAACACATTTTCGAGCATTAGAAAAAGAACATTGACTGCATGCACTTGTAGGGTTTCTCTCCCGTGTGAGTCCTGTTATGACTTGTGAGATAATCTTTCCGAGCACAAGAATATGAACATTCCTTGCACTTGTAGGGTTTCTCTACCGTGTGAGTCCTGACATGACCTGTGAGATGATCTTTCCGAGCACAAGAATATGAACATTCCTTGCACTTGAATGGTTTTTCTCCCGAGTGAGTCCAGTTATGTCTTATGAAATTACATTTTCGCACACACGAATATGAACATTGACTGCACTTGTAGGGTTTCTCTCCCGTATGAACACGCCTATGTTTTACAAGAATACTCTTCTCAGTACAAGTGTATAAACAATAGTTACATTTAAAAGCCTTTTCTTTAGCATGTGTTCTACCATGACACATCAGAGATGACTTGGAGGAGGAGGTAAAGGAACAAACATCACATTTAAATGATTTCCCAACAGGAGAAGTCGTCAGATCACCCAACTTGTCTGATGTCATATTCTTCCACGGTACTTTTAAAAGTACGGTTCATAAACAGTGACCTAACTTGTCTCGTGACAAATATTTTTTGATGCAGTTTTTTGCATTAGGTTAAAAAAGGTCTGCTGATTATTTTAGCACCCTGACCAGATGGTTAACAAAAGCAAGAGATTTATAGGATGTTGGCAAAGGTGGTCAAAAATGGTACTTTCAAAAATGGTAAATTTTCGGTACCACCAGCCAATTCTCCAACTTTGATGGATCCCAAATTTGGTTTTTTAATATTGCCTAAACGATTATGCAATAAATAGGCAATAATGTGGAGCGACATAAAAATCATAAATTGCCTCTAATTGAGATGTAAATTGGGTGTACTTTTAAAAGTACATCATTCTAGACAGTGATGTACTTTTAAAAGTACGTACTTTTAAAAGTTCATTATCTTTGTATGATGTACTTTTAAAAGGACAGGTTTCACGAAAAATGTACTTTTAAAAGTACAGGTTTATAATTATATAGACTACACAATGTCTGCTGGCTTAATTAATGCCGGTAAGACTGTCATGGGAGGTAAATTGTTCTGAATCAGAACGGAAGTCACAACAGAAATTTTCCGCTCTGATTCGCCAGCACTGGCATAATTTCACAGTTGACTATCACTTCATGTAATTATAGTGTGAGGTCTCCTTATGCAATGTGTTAATCCGATATCATTTATATTTATTACGTCTTTATATTATAAGCTTTCAGTTTCATTTGGTGCAGTTTATAATAAACTTCGGTCTCAATTTATTAGACTGTCAGCAGTGCTCTCCGTGGGGCATGAAATATCGATTTTGTTGTAACGCCATTTGCTGGTTTATTGACTAACATTTCTTAGCTTAGTATTTTCTTTTCTTATTGTAATTTTTCTTTTCTTAGTATATTCTTAGTTCATTTCTTAGCTAAGAACAGGACGTGTACATGGATTTGTCAGATACAGCGAAAAGGAGGAGGATCAGGAGAAAGAGGAGCCCTGAGAAAGATGCGACCCTGGTGTGTTATACACTACTGTTATGCTATATAATATTACTTCTCTACATCTGTCATCATGAGATACAATCCAATTATAGGCATTTTCACATTGATGAACTTATTTATTAAATGGCTAATACTCAACTACACCAGGACCATAAATTCGACGTAGGCGATCTTGTTTACAAAGAATGGGGGAGACAGTGGGAGCCGGCTCGAGTACTGAAGATTTATAGAGGAGGATCAGGAGGGATCAAGATTCAGTTTGTGGAATGTAAGAGAATGCTAGATGTCCACAAACAAACCCTAAAGCTCCCAGAAGCTTTTCACAACTTAAAGAATACCGAAAATGGTGAGAATGAGAAGGGAGTAGCAGAAGCTGAGAGAGTTCTAGAGGAACAGAAGAGAGTGGCAGAAGCTGAGAGAGTTCTAGAGGAACAGAAGAGAGTAGCAGAAGCTGAGAGAGTTCTAGAGGAACAGAAGAGAGTAGCAGAAGCTGAGAGAGCTCTAGAGGAACAGAAGAGAGTAGCAGAAGCTGAGAGAGTTCTAGAGGAACAGAACAGAGTAGCAGAAGCTGATAGAGTTCTAGAGGAACAGAACAGAGTAGCAGAAGCTGAGAGAGTTCTAGAGGAACAGAAGAGAGTAGCAGAAGCTGAGAGAGCTCTAGAGGAACAGAAGAGAGTAGCAGAAGCTGAGAGAGTTCTAGAGGAACAGAACAGAGTAGCAGAAGCTGATAGAGTTCTAGAGGAACAGAACAGAGTAGCAGAAGCTGAGAGAGTTCTAGAGGAACAGAAGAGAGTAACAGAGGTTGAGAGAGTTCTAGAGGAACAGAAGAGAGTAGCAGAAGCTGAGAGAGTTCTAGAGGAACAGAAGAGAGTAGCAGAAGCTGAGAGAGTTCTAGAGGAACAGAACAGAGTAGCAGAAGCTGAGAGAGTTCTAGAGGAACAGAAGAGAGTAGCAGAGGTTGAGCGAGTTCTAGAGGAACAGAAGAGAGTAGCAGAAGCTGAGAGAGTTCTAGAGGAACAGAAGAGAGTAGCAGAGGTTGAGACAATTCTAGAGGAGCAGAAGAGATTTGCAGAAGCTGAGCGAGTTCTAGAGGAACAGAAGAGAGTAGCAGAGGCTGAGACAATTCTAGAGGAGCAGAACAACGCAGCTGAGGAAATGCATAGACTACAAGAGGAAAGGAATCTTACGTTGGAACAGCAGATTGCTGATGGCAGCCAATCATGTCAGAATTCAATAGTAAACATACATCGGAAACCAGTTACAAGATCTAGGATTGTAAACATTAAGAAAGAGTACATTGAAGTAGAGGCCGCTCTGGAAGACGTGGAACAACCGGGTGAAAAAGTGGATCCTTCAAGATCGACTAAATCCCCAAAATCAAAGAAGATGGCTGAAGTTGAGAGAGAAATTCTAGAAAAAGATGTGAAGGAGTTAACAGGATCCAGACAATCAGCTCGAAGCAACACGAAGACCAAAAATAAAGCGAAGAAACAGAAAAATGTCCGTATTAATGTTCGAGAAGAACAAACTTCTTTGCATAATAACTTGAGAACGCTGGACGAAGCTCTAGAGCTGGCAACCACAGTGTCTTCGAATGAGATAGATGTTGTCATCCTTCCTCCGGATGGTGTTGAGAGTGATACGGAAATGATCGATGACAATGATGGTGACAATCTCCCCTTGTCTGCGGTAAAAGATACTGCTGGAACCTATGAGCTACATTTTGTAGGAGAAGAGTCAGATAATGAATTGGACACAGAACAATTGACGAACCCTGCCCCTATTACACGAAGTTCAACTGATGCTATTAATAATAAGTATCCAGACATAGTCGCTTTTCGATCAGAAGTTCAAAATATTGTCGAAGACACATCAACACATACATCTGAGAAGATCAATAAACTTTTAGGACTCTGCCCGAAGATTAATAACTCGTGTAAGTGGGTTGCCGACTCTGCTCAAGCTCCAAATCTTTCACCTCGCCAATCATATAGTGAGAAGGTTATTGCTAATAGATCAAAACTGATCCAAGATTTCGGTGGTTTGCTACCTCATGAAATTTTCGAGAAACTTGTAGATGACCCCGAAAACAGTTTGTTAACCCAAATTATCACAGAGTCGGAGCGTTATGCTCATAGCCGATTTGGCGATTTAACCTTCAAGACAAACAAAGATACCTCAAGCACACCTCTATTGGGATTCAAATGTTGATACTAATGTGAGTGTGGTTACTGATGCCATATCAAGGAACCGATATAATTTGCTGAAGAAGTACATTCATTGCGTGGACAATCGAGATGTGGACACCACAGATAAGTATTGGAAGGTAAGACCTCTCTACGATATCATGAATCAAAGTCTGGCTAAGTTCAAGAACCTTGATAATACGTTTAGTATTGACGAGCAGATGGTCCCTTACACCGGGATGCATAGCGCTAAACAACGCATGAAGGATAAGAGTATCCGATTTGGCTATAAAAACTTTTGGCTGGTTGGCTCATCGGGATTCCCGTACCACTGCCTCCCTTACTGTGGTAAGAAAGGAATTGGCGGAGATCCCGGAAAGAACCTCACCAGTCGGGTTACCTTACAACTGGCCATGGAGATTCTTGAACCCAAAGAAAGTAACGTCTTTTATGACAATTGGTTTGCCAGCTATAAGCTGTTGGCCATATTCTCTGCCATGGAGCTTGGAGCATCTTGTACTATTCAAAGTCAGAGAACAAATAGCTGCCCCACCAAGACTGATTCTGCACTTAAGAAAGAAGGGCGTGGGAGCTTTTCAAAGGGAATTGACGAGTTTACAGGGGTGACCATTGTAAAATGGCATGACAATAGCGTCGTGAATGTTGGTTCCAACATCTTTACTGTTAATCCTATCACAGATGTGGAACGGTACAGTCAAGCAGAAAAGAAGAAGATTCAAATCAAACGGCCATCTCTTGTCAAGGAGTATAACAAGGGAATGGGTAACGTTGATGTGTTTGATGGCCATGTTGCTAGCTACAGAATCTCTCTAAGGGGAAAAAAGTGGTGGTGGCCACACCTAATAAATACGCTTGATTGCCTGAAAGCTGCATCATATTCTTTGTATGAGATATGTCATTCGAATGAAAAGACGAAACTGACATATCTGAACTTCATTCGACGAATAACAATAGCCTACCTGAAGAAGAGATTACAGCCCCCATCATCGCTATGCCAAAGAGTTGCAGTGTGGAAGGGTGACAACAGAGTTACCCCAGAGGTCCGCCTGGAGAGTAGAACTAACACTCACTGGCCAGTAAAAACAAAGCAGAGACGATGTGCTTTGAATGGCTGCAAAGGTCGCAGCAACTATAAGTGCGAAGTGTGTGACGTTGCACTTTGTGTGCTTTGTTTTAAGCCTTATCATCAGTTAGAGTAAAAAGCACAAAACCTGACAATTTTAGTAAAATTGATAGTTAACTGGTAAATGGAATTGTGATAGTAGTTTATAAGTATAGCTGTTCCCACCATCATGATTTATTCAGTGTACCACTTAAATTTTGTATGGTATTGTTTAAATTTTATTCAGCCATTCTGACAAAGGCTTTTAGTTTTATTATCTGACCCTGAGTTTCTATTTAATTAACTAATGTACCTCCAAAAGTACACTATTCATTAAACCCGTACTTTTAAAAGTACATTATTTATTAAACCCGTACTTTTAAAAGTACATCATTCAAATATGATGTACTTTTAAAAGTACGATACAATTTTCCAAAAAAGTAAGCTCCAACAATGACCTTTTAAAAGTACGGGTCGAAAAAGCTATTAAAAATATAAATTTTTTCAAAATTATTATTGCATCGTCGGAGTTGGTGTCTTAGTGCTTCGGAAACAAAATTTCGTCAAAAAATTCGAACGTTTAGAGTTGTTGGTATTATATGGGTTAAGAGCCCTGCTCTATTAGACTTATCATTGATTGTTTTACCATGTTTACCATTATTTCACCATGTTTCACCATTGTTTCACCATGATGTTCTTTGATGTGTTCTATAAAGTACTCGTCATAAAGGAAATGAGCTTTACACTGTGGACAAATAAAACCATGTGATATTCCTGTTCCTTCTTCATGCTCAGTTTTTATTTCCTTTTTGATGTTAATTGAACTTTCGTTGGAATTTATTTTTCTCTCTACTTTATCAGCAGCTGTTAAGAATCTCTTACTCCGTCTTAAAATTACAAACTTACCTGCATCAAAAATAAATAAGACACAAATTGTTTAAATTTAAATACCTTGAGATAACTTAATAAAATATGTCTTTATTATACTCGAAAGTTTTGTCTGATTAAGTTATGCACAGTAACACTGCTCGATTACCTTAGAAAAAAGGAAACAGCTGCGGCAAGTGAAGGTTTTTTTTGTTCACATTATGTACGACTAGCTAGTCGAAAGCTTGATTCGAGGAAATTTTAGATCAGTTATCATATTATGTCATGTGTTATATTATGTTCTAATTTCTTTTCGTCATCTAGCTCCGCACTGTAAAATGTATGGATTTTTATTTGGCAATGATGGCAACGTCATACGTATATAATAATCATATTCTATTTTTTTGAACTAAAGATTTTTTTGAACTAAAGATTCTTTAGTTCATTTTCTTTCGTCACTAATTTAAGATTTGTTTAGGAAAATGTAGTTCTAATAAAACAATAACGTGACTGATGTAGCCATGAACTGTCACTGAATGATTGAGAATTTCTACTTTTTACCAACTCATAAAATCTTTTCCTCACTGTACTGGAGTCTTTTATCAAAATAAATTAGTATTTCTCGATTCTAATAACAGGAATAATTCAAAATTGTGCTCGGATAAAACAAAATTGTACTTATATCATTTGTATTAGCAAATTCAAAGTTTATAAACGAATAAGTTAATAAGTTTATTAACGAATAATAAGTTTTAAAAGTTTATTAACGAATAAGTTAACTACGTAACATCATGTCAGCTGACTCCGGTAATTGAGAAATAATAATTTGCCAGCAAACTAGAGTAAGCCAACTAGTTCAACAGTTTGTGAGATTTAACACTACCTGATTATGATTTTTTAAGTTTATCGTTATAGCATATTTGATTTGATAACTTTGACAATTTTTAAAAGTTGATAATGCTGTACATTTCTGAATTTTCCGTAGCATTGACAGTCTTGATGCTGATAACTTTATGAAGTTGTCTAGCTATCATAATCAAATACTTTCATTTAAATATATTGAATGAATAACTAAATTTAAGCAATCACAAATACTATTGAAACATTGCACAAAAATAGCAGAAAATGAATAATTCCCACACCACTGCTAGAACAAATTCTCAGCAATAATATTTTCCTTAAAACGGACCGCAAACCGGTTTTTTATCTTATCAACATTTGCCAAGCGCTTGCTACAATTCTTAACATAATCAATTTCATTAGCATCACAATACAACAAAAGCAATCTGAGATACGACCAAAGACTCTCCGTTTCTGGATAAAACAAAACAAGGTCACATACAAACGAAAACTCCGATATAAAAATTCTGATATTTTCTTTTTTGAAATTATAACTTTCGTTGAGCATTGGATTTGGGTTTTCGAGAAGAAGTAACAGCAGGTTAAATCGATAATTCATCCCACAGAACTGGCTAATATGAGATTCTACCCACAGCTTGCTCCAATCCAGTTCTTCTTTTAGCACTATAAACCTTGGAAATGATTTGATAAGCCAGAATCTGTAGTTCCAGCTGTAGTAGTTTTGTTTGTACGATTCCGCAGAATGTTCACAAACCTTCAGTTGACTGACAATTGTTTGTTCATCAACCACGTCCCCATTATTGGCTAGGAGCCAGCGACAATGGTTGAAAGGCTCAGCTGATTTGGGTTTAAGTTTCAAGGAACAAGCTGACAACAGTAGCTCAGCTGACAGTTTCTTCTTGTTATTTATGTAGTGTTGTCGGAAGAGTTTCTTGCGAAAGTTCCAATGCTTACTGTCATCAGGGTTCAGTATAACGAGCACTGTAGACAATTCTTCCAGCGGAGAATCCTTACTAAAAGATTCGTCTACTTTACAGATACTCACAAACTTCTGACTTGCGAATAAACCGAGATTTTTGAAAGCTTTTTTTGATATTGCTAGGTGAAGAGATTCTAGAGTAAGGGGCTCAGGGTTTTCAATTATGGAGATTGATTCGAGGTATGGGTTGGCTTTTAGAATATCGTGGAGGCGTTTGAGGGTTTGTGATAACTTGTCGTCGTCTTCATCTGTCATCAAAACCTTAGATAATTTGAATTAAGAAAGAGCTATTTTGAATTTTCAATATGCAGTTGGCATCATATAAAGATATACATAATTAAAACAATCATAGAATCATACACAAAATGATATTATATTAATACCTAATATTTATCTGTACTGAATACTGATACAAATTGTCCAAACACTTGTTAACTTTTGCTTCAGATAATACTAATTAAAATCCAAAACATGGTAATAGCAATCTGAGATCATGTAAGTAAGTCACGTATCTTTCACGTCACCATTATCATCATCACACCTTACATTTCAGGAGCCATGGCCGAAGAAGAAAACGAGATAGTGATAGAATACGGTCACAACGGTCAAGTCACCAGCATCACCAACACACCACAATCACGATACACGCACCGTGTGACATCACGTGTACAACCAACCACACGACCACAACCAACCACACGTGTGCAACCAACCACACGCAACAACATGCGCACGCGCAACCAGCACCTGCTGAGAACACAACAAGATGTGCCTCTGATAGACCTGACAAACACATCACCTCCTGCCTCATTCACTAACCACACATTCAATGTCTCTGATGTGACTGACGAGGACTTTGCGGCACAGGTGAGGAGACAAGAAGGTAGGTTGAACCCCTTCGCAAACACTCCCTCTCCAGTTGAGAACTTAGGTGATAGTTCTCTTGAGGAGAACGATCTGGTCAACAAGGAGATAAAAAGTATTACAAGCGTGCTGGAGTTACCAAACCCTTACAATGAGAAATTCAGACCTCTGATAGCTATATCACTGCAAGAGCAGTGGTTCATTGAGAATTATGCTAGCTTTATTGAGGACAGCATAGTGTTCACAAAGGGCTATTTTACCGCAATAGCAAATGGTGTTAAATTCAGCAGAGGGCGGACATTTTGGGAAAGACATTGTGGAAAAACCACCACGTTCATGAGTGTGGTTGAGTGTGTTAACTGCCTTTTCATGGACTACCCAGATGAGTTGTCAGAGGTTGGCATTAGCAAATCTTGGTTACTTGTGTGCCTCACTACATTCCTTGAAATATCTGATGATAACTTCACAGCTGAGATGTACAAACAGATCATAATTGACGCAGATCTAGACAGCTTTGATGCGTTCTTCATTAACGTGAAACAGTTGATCATGCTCACGTTCATAGCCACCGAGCTAATCCGGCCAGCTGAACATGACATCAAGCTGGAGCTCCTCAACTTACTCGAACTCATCCCTCACTCCGCAATCATCCTCAGATACCTCACTCACAGTCTCAGTGTAAACATACGCTGCGCAACCACACGTGCACTTTCAACTGTTAACTTTAATGAGGAGCACACGTTTCAAGCGCTGTTCCGCGCGAGTGTAGACCCAGATTGCAGAGTAAGACGTGAATTCTGTGTGAGCGTAAGCGAGTTCATGGTCGAGCTGGACAAGAGTTTCTTTGAGGTAGACGACAATGAGACGGAAGTTAACGTACAGCTGACAGTGATGGGGAACAAGGTGTGTTTTGTGGAGGAGAGTAAGAGAGGAGAAATGGAGGAGAGATTGAGGGATCTGTGGGTTTATGACCAGTATGTGGAGGTGGGGCAGGAGGCTCACACTGCTCTCAAGATTTTAGGTTTTATAAAGTAGAGGTTTGGTGAGGTTTGGTGAGGTTTAGTGAGGCTCACGCTGCTCTCAAGATTTTAGGTTTTATAAAGTAGTGGTTTGGTGAGGTTTGGTGAGGCTTACAGTGCTCTGAAAACGTTATGCTTTTGGTGGGTATCACCAGGACCAGTAGACGCAGTAACGTAGAACCTAACAAAGGTTTAGTGCTGCAAATTGGGGACATAGGTCTTCTTTCAGACGACTGAAATTTATTCTTATTTTTAATAATTTTGAGTGTTCGAACACGCCAAATGTTTGTAAAACATCACGTCATGGTTAATAAGAGAATTTATCGTTGTCTTAATCTCCTAATTCATAAAAATTAATTGTAAAACCTTTAAGGGGGTAAAGGTAAATAAAACACAAGGGAGTGAGATAAAACAATACCCATCAAAAATCTTAAAATAGCAACTTGAATGAATGTACAAATTTGAACACATCATGTCAGAAGTCTTTACATCACTAATAGTTGATAAAAGCAAAGAAACATCGCGGAAAATGCCAAACTTTCAAAAAGCCGTCCAAGTTTTTAAATCGTTGCTACATAACTTATCTGAGTCCTATGGGATATCTTAAATTCCTAGAGTCAGTTTCTTGTCGATTTTCTGACAGCAAGAATTAGCTTTGAGATGGAGGTCCTTGGTCTTGTCTATGAGTTTCTGGTAAACTGGCACAGATGTTCCACCCATGACTACGTATCCGTTCTTACCTGTAATAGGAGGAAAGTAAAATATGAAATATGAAATATGAAATATCTATGGAAGAAAAGTTGGAAACAAATTGTATTTTCTGAGATGCAATCAATTAACGATGAGTTGAATTAAATCACAACACTACTTTATCATTTGACATTGGAGATATAGCACTTTCTCTGAATATCATCAAAACCTATCAAACGTAATTCAAAAAGAAGTCTTTCAAATTTTTTCGGTTGTTGAAATTACAATTTAAGACTTCAGGAAAATTGTTTGTCGACGGCAAAGCAGCTTTAAAAAATACTTGTTCGAAAACCATACAAAATTGTGATGTCCCAATAGCAGTTGACAAAAAGGAAGAGGATTCCAAAAAAACCTGTTAAGTTAAATATCAAAACAAGAGGAAAGAAATTCAGTTTAATGAAATCATCTCTTCAGAATAAGAGCAATCAAACGATCAAACAATTAAATATTCCATAGGGATATTATATAATTAGTTCTCATAACGGGACCCTTTATCAGTACTCCGAAGAAATTTGAGTAAATACTCAAATTTGTATTCTCTTCAAATAAATACTAATGTGACGATAACGAATTATATAACACCAATTACGATTTAAAGTGGTTACATTCAAAGAAATTATCAGATTACATTTCATATATATTATCTTTTAATGACAGTCATCGTAAAGACAAGGAAATGATGACTTCACTTTGCAAAGCAAGTGTAAAAATGCAACAAACTTAACGTTTATTTGGAGGTCAATTTTTTTTAATCAAGACACTTATTTTACTTCGGTGTATTCCAACAGCCACATTGTTACACGAGTGCAACCAGCCAATTACAGGAAGCCGAAGGATTTATTTGGCCAGTGACGGTTAAGGTAGTGTGTGCCATACTTTCTTCGCCCGAGACTTTGCTGCAATGTGCAGCTCCTCATTTAACCCTCACACCCGATTTCTCGAGTATTCGGCTGAGTAGACTGGGGGGCTGCATAGACCACTCAGGATCCTTAGCTGAACGTCAACGACGCTCACCCCACGACCAGGCAGACATCACGATTTGCAAAGATGGCGTTCTAACCAACTGCGCTACCTGGCCGTTAGACATTATGGTCATGTATTGGAGAGCCGCTCTTACATCTGCAATCTGCACTGCAAAAGATAATATCATGTGCAGTTATCTCATGTTTACCTTAAACAGTAAGATGTACCTAGTACCTACGATGTTATATCACAATCATCCCGATTAACCCTAAGGTTGACCGATTGTTACGTCTGCTGTTTTATCACCTAAATCTCATTTTCCAAACAAGGCCACACTCTTCATTGCTGAGAGCTATTAAGGTGCTGTATTACAGGTAATGAGGTTGGATCACTATCAGTAGTGCTCATGATCGTGCAATAATCCATCGTGTACCATAGCATATCAATACTTGATGTATCATATCTGGCCCGCCAGGTGCTGGTATACCAACAAAACTATTGTCGGGATATAATTGAGGAGTAAATGGTGATCGATCTAGTATTATGTTAACATTAAGGTTATTTTTGTGCTAGCCACCCTTGTTTTTAGCTCAGCTAATATGCCACTTTCACTTCGAATGTTGTCCCCTTGAAATGATATTAAAAGGTGCAGTGTTAATATTGAATTAACCGGTATTTTCTGATTGTGACACCTTCATAGTCTTTAACTATTACCTTGATCATTTATCTACATAAATAGTTAATAACTCACAGTAAAAGTTAATTCAACTAACTTAATTTCATTCATATTTTTATATAATGAACACACTCAATTTTAAAAACTGCTTTTAAATTCAGATGTTCTTGAATAATCCTCTGAAGGTTCTAAAGATAGTTTCGTTGTCGTGAACGAGCTCTAAAATTTTAAAGTATTTAAAGCCATTTTGCTTTGATCCCATGCTAGGTTGTTTAAAATATTTAATTACCTAGAACCAACTTGCAACCTTGCCTTAACAATTATTTCCCTTTAAGATATTGATTATTAAATTCTAGAGTGAAACAAATTCCATTTGACCAAACATTGAGGAATAAATGGACCCCCCCCCCCCCCTGGCCCTCCCAATTAAATAATATATCATCCCAAATAAAATGTCTAAAGACTTAAAGACTATTATTATAAAACAGGATCTTACCGACAAAAATGATTCATAAAAATACCTTAATGCGGTAAATTGTACCCTTGAAACAGATTTTCCCAACATCTGTTGCATGCAGCTATATCTTTGATTTCGTTTAATTCATGCAAGTTATCTTAAAAGACTACCCATATAAATATTTAGTCAACAGTTCAGGAATATTAGGCCCACAAAATCTTTAAATTATACCGAAATTTTAATGGCTTACAACCCGACAAAGTATTTTCCTCGTTCCAGTGGTTTAGTCGATAACATTCAATGCTGAGAAAAGACTTAACATCTGCCATATAAACTATTACAATAATTTGAGCTCATTCGGAATCAAGCTTATTCGGGGGCTGAAAAGAAAAATATTATGGTTATGTATATTGTTTCTCGATTGTAAACTAATGTGAGTCTTCAGTGGCATATCATAATTGTTTTAACATTGGTCTAGTTTCACCTGTGACTGCACTGTGACTGCACTAGATTAAGGTAAAAATGCTAATCACAGATCATCAGTAATCGACGGAATAATTTTATCATTTAACGATTACCAAGATTACAAGCAGGTGTTCATATGCTAGTACAAATCCATTCTCAGTGAAAACTAAAACTCATTATAAAATATTCCAGTAGATTTTCTGGTCCCCCATTCAAAGGTATTATAATATGCTAGCTTTTAGTCCCCACCAGTTTTAAACACTAACCGTAGGTAGCACTTAAATCTAGTGACGATGAGTCAGAACTCTTTTCTCGCCGATGGTGTGCTGGTGCAGCTGAACTTGGCTTGTTTAAGCTATCGAATATTCTTATTGTATTGCCGTGTTATTCTAATTCTAATTCTAAGCTCTAGCTAAGGTAGCTTTCAGAGATTGGTAGTTTCTGGAATGTTCCTGGAATCGAGTTTTCATGGCAGGTGTTGCGATCATTCATCACTGGCTATATAGTCTTGTTAGTTTTGTTGACCAATAATAGTGAAGTTTTGTTGACTAATAATAGTCTTGTTATTTTTGTTGACTGATAATAATCTTGTTAGTTTTGTTGTCGGCTCCTGGAAGGAGGACGAAGGAGTAGAAAGATATTGTGTGGGTAAGAAACAGCTGGATTTTGGCCATTTCAGAACCTCCTTCCCCGCTCCATAAACTTACACATAGCTAGTACATGTAGAAAGTAGATTGGCGTAATCTTTTCCAAGATTTGGTAATATATAAGTATGAACGTTCTCTTACGTTTTGGATAAGTAAATCGCAACCTAAGTCCCTTTGTTAACGGGAGATGAATTAAAGCACGGGCAGATATTTTTCGCAAGCTTCCTTTCAAATTGCAACATTTTGTCTAATTTCAATCCTTCGCGTCATGATTTAGTGTCAAGTAAGACCGCATGATTTAAATTGACCAGTATTTTGCCAAAAAACTGACTCTTGACCAGATGTTAAAAATGTTGACCAGATGTCTCATTATGCGTTACTACACTTTGCATAATATATCAAAGTGTTCTAGATCACCATTCAACATTGATATTCGTTAATAACACTCGTTCACAATGTAAAATCTGCAATGCTTTGCTGTCGAATAGTTTTGCTCTTGAATGTTGTATTTGTGTACCTAGTTTTACAAAGTTACGCGCACAGAGATCCACTTACTCCAGTTCGACACTTACCCTAGTTCGACAACTAAAGTTCGGCAGAAATCACCCCTGTCGAACTTCGGTGAGTGTACAAATAGAGTCCATGTAACGCACCCTAATTCGACAGTCGAAGTTCTCTTGTTGAAGTTCAGCACGTGTTACGAGAACAGACTAGAACGAGGATATTAATCTAGAAGCAACATTGAACATTCTTCACATTAAAATACACTAACTGTCACGTAGATACTATCTACGCGACAGTTAGTGTATTTTAATGTGAGATAGTGATATGATATACTTTCTCTTCTCTCAGACATTAAGTAATGGCCTCTAAATGTCGCACTTTCAAAATACAGAGTATTCGTTTGTTCCGTTTAATTGTTCAAATATATCTTGTATGTTTTCTGCAAAGGAGAGGAAATCAAGTCTTGTTTTTTTGTGCTAGGTATGAAACATTTCTTTAACCTTTTGATTTGGTAAGGTATATTTTCTGTTCGCATTAATGTTTGTGGGGGGGGTTGCAACGACCATTAATGACCATTAATGACCATTAATGACCATTAATGACAATGTCAGTTTTGCCAAAATTTCATCTACTGACATTAATGGTCATGTTTTTTCCGGCACTTCTTAGAGCGAAAAGGACGGACGCCTGCATCACTTAGACCCTAGTTAACTAACTACAAGTATATGTTATTATTTTACATTTACAATTATTAGAGATTCGAAAGAGAAAACTTAGAATAGAATCTTCCGTGGTTAGGCAGACCTTCCAGAATATCACTTGAGTGGATTCCAGAGTGAGTTAGGGATTACATTTATTAAGTTCGAATGTAATGAAGAACAAATTTTGCGGCCACGGGATTTAAACCAGATAACAGTTGGTGACTTATAGTTATCAATGATAATAATTCAAAGGGCAATTTAGGAGTATCAGATCGTATCAATAGTAAAATAACAATCAATAATAAAATAATAATAACACGGGTATTAAAATTAAATACTTCGTTCCCGTTCTTATATCATATCAAGATTTATATTTTAGCCAAATCATTATGCTAGTCGATTATATAGTAATTACACAGTAGATGAACTTATTCAATTTTAGCACTTCATGAATCATGAAATACATCGTCATCAGTCTGAATCGGACAACAAAAAAGCTGATCTTTTCCTAGGATTAGATAGTACAATTCGTTTACAGTTCAATACTCTGCCTTCGGCAGTTTTGACCCAAAATCGAGCACTGTCATCATGATAGGGACAAATTGATGCGGCAGGAATTCGTCTAGATCTGCAGTTGCCCTTTTTTGAAGCAGAGACACTCATTGATAAGATGGTACCGAGGCAACGAAGGGGACGTTTAGCCTTTTTTGGAACAAAGGCAGCACTTAATGAGTCGCCCTTTCGAATTGTTCGAAACAAGCAAACAGACAAGACAAGTTACCAACGTATAACAGAATGGTGCTTGGCACTCATTCCGAAACCGAGGTCCGAGCCTCTATTAGGCGAATATTAATTCGTTTTCTCAAACGAGACTCTGGCAATCTATGTAGGGGGCTGTGAGAAACTTTATAGAAGTGATACAAAGTGATCATAATTGTAAATTTCTTGGACATGTTGCTTCCAAGATAGTTCAGAATTTCAATTATTTAATGACCATTAATGACATGACCATTAATGACCATTAATGACCATTAATGACCATTAATGACCATTAATGACCATTAATGACCATTAATGACCATTAATGACCATTAATGACCATTAATGACCATTAATGACAATGTCAGTTTTGACAAAATTCCATCTATTGACATTAATGGTCGTTGCAACCCCCCCGTTTGTGGAATGTGCAGTGCCTACTGTACTGTGCTTAAAACTGCTGACAAGAATATTAAAAATAACCTCGCTTCAATACGGAGCTCCAATCTGCTTGTCGGTTTGAAAGTAAAAACTTAACAGCAATATTATCTCGTTCTCTGCTAGGGTAATGCCTTCTCAAGACTAAAGGACGAACCTTTATAAAATAAATTATCCCTGAGCTTCGTTTTATTGCCAAAACATACCAATTCTATGTTCATTTTTGTGCTGAGTATAAAGGATTCCCCTGACATGATCTTCTACTCTCATGAAAGTTCTGTGTATTGCCTAGCTTTGGCTATCGAAGACTTGGTTACCAAAATCGTTCTATTGATTATCAAATAATCTTAAAACAGGCTATAATCAGATATTTACGAAAACAGTATACTGTACATCATATTTTTGGGCACATAAAAAGCCTCGACTTTCGAGCGACAACGACTCTAGTCCGAGTCGCCCAATCAAAAGCCTCCAGTCAAGGACAGTCAGCTAGGCTTTACTATCATTAATTATCAATTAATATACCTATGGCTATACCGGTCTAATCATTATCTATATTCTTATATTAAAATATAATATATATAATATATTATATATAGTTGTGCTCGTTCATAGTTGTTAGCAACAACTGCTAAAACTTAGTCCAAATTTCGCAATAAATATACTTAACTAGAGCAATAGAACACCGACACGTGCTTGGAATATACCTGGACTAATGTGCCTGGTAGCAATGGTAATTACAGGCCCGCCCTGTACTTTTCATCCAGTTGTGTTTAATTAACTTGTTCTACTACGATATGGCCATTTCTTTGTGATCTTTGGGATTATAATTAGATTACAAAGAGTTTATAAACGCAGCATTATTTCCTTATTTCTCTGTGTTCATGTTGCATGTTGCCAGTTTCATATCTTGCTTATTTTAATTTACCATTAGCAATCTAGATATCATAGGCCATAGGGATAGTAGAATGCTTTATTGATCTACCTTAAATTATGTATCTAGTTGTTGCCAAGCCCCCAGCTACATAACACCCCCTCCCAGTCCCAGGATGGTGAACTACACAGCCGACTTCCACCATCTGACCCCCACCTCCCGTCACCTGATCTCCACCTACAACCTCCTCCTCCTCCTCCTCGGTATCCCCGGTAACACCCTTCTCTTCTACGCCTCCAACGCTCACAAAGCACTTAACGTGGAGTTAGTAACCAGACTGATAATAGAGCACATAGCGGTGTGTGATGTTCTCATCCTTCTCACTACATTCCTACCCACTCTCACCACAATCCTCCATCACAGGTGGGTGCTTGGTCCTGAGATCTGTTACTTTGTTTCCTTCACCTCCAGTATCTTCTTCTTCTACGAGATATTACTGACTGTGTTGCTTACAGCACGGAGATTAGGGCTGGTAAGCGAGGTAGCTATGAGGAACGGTAAGATGAGTTACAGAGTAACAATGTTGGTGTTAGCGGGACTGTTTGTGTTGGCAGCAGCTCCCTCTGTGTGCTACATGGCGCTGGGGTGCGGGGTGTTCTTCGCACCTCACACTCTCCTGTGCATCTCAAGCAACTACCGAGACTACCCCCTCCCCTCACTAATAGTAGTAGGAGTGTATCTGGTAGCTCCTGTAACTCTGCTTATACTGCTGAACCTGGGTATACTCCTCATCCTGTGCAAAGCCAGCACGTCATCAGCAGCTGGGAAGGGTTTCTCCAGAACAATCGTCTCTCTGATGGTCGTCTCCTGGCTCTTCACCCTCTCCTACATTCCGATCTTTGTGAAGCTGGCCCTGGGCATATCAGGGTATCCTGTATCCTACACATTTCAGATAGCACAGCAGTACCTGTTGTCTGCTAATGTGTTGCTTAACCCTGTTATCTACCTGGTGTTTAACAGAAGGTTTCAGAGGTTTACGAGGGATTTGCTGGGGAGACCTGTTTCTTATATCTCAAGGACTGTTAGTCAGTCTAATCAGTGACTTGGGTTCAACTACAAGGAGTACAATATATATCTAGAGTTGAACAGAATGATTAATACGGGTGAACTAGAATATTAAGTGAACGAACTGAAGAGATGAGCGAAATTATTTAGCGGATTTTTGGAGAGTCTCTAGAAAATAGAACTAACTTTAAGCGCAACGAGAACGAACCGAGCAAATCAGAAAAGACTAGCGGACTAGCTGCATTTTTAAAATGATTGAGCAGCATCTCATGGTGGAGATAAACTGGGCGGAGTGAAATGTAAGCGACTACTGTAGAGAAAATAAAGTTTTGTCATTTGAACCTATCGAAGCAACTAAAGAAATTAAATTAAAAAGCTGAAACGAACGTGCGAAAATAGAGATGTTACTATTATAATATAGATTCTCCAATTTATAACTTATATTACATTTGGATGTCAATAAAATGTTATAAAAAACTTACTGTCTATTTTAGCATCAAGATGAGCTAGACGGATCATGTTTACGACCCACTTTTCTGCTTCAGCTGGCTCCATGTTAAGATTGTCTGCTAGCATGTCTATCTCTATTCTCTGTAAATATAACCAAGATAATTATTGTAAGATTGTCATGATAATTTAATATTATACTGAATATTTAATATTGAATGTTGGGTATTTGAATTTATACTGAATATTTAACATTGAATGTTGGGTATTTGAATTTATACTGAATATTTAATATTGACTGTTGCATTGGGGTTCAATATTCTAAGAATTTAAGATTTAAATGTGGACTCCCTTTGAAATTACAGCCAAATTATTTTGAAAACAGTATAGTTATCATGAGAATAATTTAGATACTTTAGATTGCATAAGCTGACTAGACTGATTAGGTTGATTAGGTTATAAAGTTTTTTTGATCATTCAACTTAAGATAGCTTGGCAAAATAATCTTTATCATATAATATATTAATAATTAAATAAAAGTTGTACAGCCGAACTATAAATGTATGTATAATGTAATATAAGATTGCTGTTATTTTAATGTAAAAGCAATACGATATTTTAATTGAATGAATGATAACTAATTATTTCCATTATTGTATTTTACGTCATGATGCATAAATCTTAAATACCAATCAACAAAATTAATTATCTTGGGGAGCAATCTTAATTGAATTGTAACACGTTTATACGTAACCTACATTTTACATTTTACATTTTACACGATGATAAGAATCGACTAATCAATATTACACCAACCTACATTCAACATAAAAATAAAATAATCAATCTATCAATAATAGGTGTACACATGCAAAGATGCAAGCAAAATTGGGAAGTTAATCTTAACATATTCTAGAATGGATTCTAACAGATTCTTACGTAACCAAATTCCAATATATTCAAAAAATTCAGAATGGTTAATAACAACTGTAACCCTACCTGATGGATCCTGCAGAATATCTCCGAGATGATGAGTCTAGCATTTTCCGTGAACTCATCCAAACACCCCACTATAAAGAAGTCGTTCTCTATCACTGTCTTACATTCCTTGAGCTTAGCTTGTGCCTCGTCGAAATCAAAGTTTACGTAAAGAGATTCCACAAATTCAGTGATGGGATCTTTGTAGGATTCCTGGGGTGGAAAAGGGTTAAATCAATGATGTAAAGGATCAGATAAAATTAAAAGTAATTTGAAAATATTCTGAACTTTATTTTCTCTACGCGGGGTTAAGCGTCTGATAAGTAATTGTGAACAATACTAATGATGACATCGTGACAATTACTATAAGAACCTACTAAGATCCCTCGTAAATTCAAAACTAAATTCAAATTTCCATAAGATTTATAAAAACCTGTTGGAGAACTTTAATGAGTTCCTTTATACCATCTCTCCGTCTCTTGCTGATAACTACAGCAGTAGTGATGTATCTAAACAAATTTCATCAATATTTATAAAGTACTTTAACTAAGTAAAATGTTACATTTCAAACATTCCTTTCTTTCAAATTCATATTATCATTGTTACCATTACAAGGATATGAAGGGGAGCTATAACAAATTGAAAGTACGGATGGGCATAGGATTATCGGACTGTGACCCCCCCCCCCCCCCACCATTCTCCCTCCTATTTGTTCCAACCCTTACCTAAGGATGTGAGGACACATGGTCTGCACAGCGTTAAGATAAGGTTTCTGGTGGAGGAACACGTCTATAATACTGTCTCGTCCCTGATGAGATACAATGTAATTATAATTAATCAGAACTGAAAATTTGAATCGAATTGTAACTGAAAAACGAATGGACATAATATTGTCAGTCATGAAATGCAAACGTACTTGAGACTTGAGAGATTTGGCCTACACAATCACTATCATTAAATGGTTATGACACAGCATGAAGATACCTGAGGGTGGTTGAAGTAGACAAATAGTCCCCAGTGGATGAGCCATGCTCTCTGAACCAGCACTTCACTATATGTCAAATGAAGAGCAGCGGAGATGTTGTCCTTCAGACGCTCCAACTCCTCCATAGCTTCGTCCCAGTTTTGCTGAAATGAGTGGAGGTGTGTGGTTTTAATGTGTTTATCAGAATTTAATTAGACAAAAGTGTGGTTTTTTAATTCTCACCTGATAGAATTATCTGAGTAAAACAAGGTAAATACGATTAATTAACATAATCTCCCACCTGAAGAATCTCGCTAGCAAGTTTGCCCCACTGAGCACTACTGTAGAACTTGCTATCTGCTGGAGCGAGGTTACGGTAGAAGTCCAGATTCGTACTTGCGATAGCGTAGTTACCTACATCGTACCTGGATAGAAGGTCGTTTAGATAAAGACTGTTTCATATTTAATAAGCTATGTGAGCTTTCAAGAGCTGTTTCGATAATATCTTGATCAAGGAGGGCAGATTCAAGCTCGTTAAATTAATTAAGTATCCATTCGTATGAAATTATGATGATTATTTAATTATAGTATACATAAAAAAAGTTTGGAAAGGCATTTAGATAGGAGCTACTCACATAAATTTTCCGTAGTGGAACACATCATCCAGTCGTTCCCTGTCAAACTTGTGAGTCTCACTAAGGAAATCCCACAGCTGTTGACTGTCCCGGTGCTTCTCAACCACCTCCGCTACCTGGGGTGAGGCGGTGATATCACGTGGAGTGAGGCGGTGATAACACGTGGAGTGAGGCGGTGATATCACGTGGGGTTAGGCGGTGATATCACGTGGAGTGAGCGGTAACAAATTTTCTCAGATAAATTAAGTCCAGAACAGAAATTAAACTAAGAAAACCAAACACCCAAACCCTGGCCCTCCAGACCACAAAACTCACGTCCTTCCTGGAGAACATCTCAATAACTTGGCTGCTCCTCTCCTGAAGCAAAGTCAGCTGTTTCACAACCTCGTTACGTTTCTGGTGCAGTGCCTCTGGGGGCTCCTCGTCAGGGTGCAGGCCGTGGAACACGTCTATTGTGAAATCCACCATGTTCGTGTTCTGGGGGCAAGGGAAGGGTCACGTGATGTTGCAGTTGGAGATGAGAATGGATTGCTATTAGAGTAGTATTAAATCTTAGTAGTGCGTGAGCATTTGTAAAGATAGCTGGTTAAAGAGTAGGGTTAGAGAACTTAAAACGTTTTAAAAAACTTTTAAAGTTAGAATAAATTGAACTATTGTGTAAAGAAAGCAGAAAGGTATCTAATCAGTTCCTAAATTCACAGCATTCTAAATACTGGAAGGTATCAGTTCCTAAATTCACAGCATTCTAAATACTGGAAGGTATCAGTTCCTAAATGCACAGCATTCTAAATACTGGAAAGTATCAGTTCCTAAATGCACAGCATTCTAAATACTGGAAAGTATCAGTTCCTAAATTCACAGCATTCTAAATACTGGAAGGTATCAGTTCCTAAATTCACAGCATTCTAAATACTGGAAGGTATCAGTTCCTAAATTCACAGCATTCTAAATACTGGAAGGTATCAGTTCCTAAATTCACAGCATTCTAAATACTGGAAGGTATCAGTTCCTAAATTCACAGCATTCTAAATACTGGAAAGTATCAGTTCCTAAATTCACAGCATTCTAAATACTGGAAGGTATCAGTTCCTAAATGCACAGCATTCTAAATACTGGAAAGTATCAGTTCCTAAATTCACAGCATTCTAAATACTGGAAGGTATCAGTTCCTAAATGCACAGCATTCTAAATACTGGAAGGTATCGATTCCTAAATTCACAGCATTCTAAATACTGGAAGGTATCAGTTCCTAAATGCACAGCATTCTAAATACTGGAAAGTATCAGTTCCTAAATTCACAGCATTCTAAATACTGGAAGGTATCAGTTCCTAAATTCTGGAAGGTATCAGTTCCTAAATGCACAGCATTCTAAATACTGGAAGGTATCGATTCCTAAATTCACAGCATTCTAAATACTGGAAGGTATCAGTTCCTAAATGCACAGCATTCTAAATACTGGAAAGTATCAGTTCCTAAATTCACAGCATTCTAAATACTGGAAGGTATCAGTTCCTAAATTCACAGCATTCTAAATACTGGAAAGTATTAGTTCCTAAATTCACAGCATTCTAAATACTGGAAAGTATCAGTTCCTAAATGCACAGCATTCTAAATACTGCAAGGAGTAGCAGAAGAGAACCTGGAGAAGCTGGTATTTGGATTTCATGAGACTGTTACTCTTGTAAATCTCACGAGTAGACAGGAACTCCAGCAGTGGGAACACCAAGTGGAGGTCCATGAACTCGGACAAGGCATTCGTTAGATCGTACTGTGCCATGCTACAGGGGGAGTTGAAATAATTTTGGTAACTCTAAATTTTGTCATTATATCACAAAATGCATGAATTCACGAAATTTGTGAAACTGAAAGTATTATAAAATTCTTTTATAAATGAAAAAGGAGAGATAGTAAAACTAAGAATATATTTTAGCTGTAGTGTAATAATGAAAATGAAATCTATCAATAAATAGTATAAATGGTTAAAGAACAGCTCACTTTTGTTTTATTAAATCATAAAATTCGGGTTGTATCACAGTAACTGTTGGCCGGGATGAGAAAAACTGTCGTCAAACTGATAACCACGTGACATGACATCACACCAAGTGACATGACGTCACACCACGTGACACGACATCACACCACGTGACATGACGTCGCACCACGTGACATGACATAACATCACGTGATATTTCAAATGCGTTAGCTCAGTTATAATAACAGACACATCAATAGTTTACTGCCTTGCTTTGGTAGATCAATAAACCACTGTTTCGATTACTTGAAAAAATAATCTGACCAAAATATTGAATATTATACGGCACGGTACGGGGTGATAAAAACAGTAAAATTAAAACTTCTACTCTGCCTGAAAAGACAGTTAACCGCTAAGTACATCATTTTCAAATAGAAAATTTAAGATTTCTTCGTCTAACAAAACATCTAAAAATTCTTTAAAATAAAAGCTGCAGTATACCTAGTGATTGGCTTTTAAAAGATAAAAGATTCATAGTTACTTAACAGCTGACACATGGAATATGATGATTAATAACATAATTAGTAAGTCGAGTAATTACTAATTGATTAACTACTTACTCAAGGGTATCATGAACAGATATGACGTAGTCAGCCTAGGGCCAGGGGAGGGGGTTTTGAAATGCTCTCGGAGGTCTTAAGCCGCTAATATCTGGTAACTGGTTTACGTAAAGTGGGAACGATTCCAAACATATCATGATGGTGAGAATATTAATTTCGTAATCATGATTCTGCCTCGTAGTGGTTCCAGCAATTTGTCAATCATCGAAGATAATGTCATGGTGATTGGTGATCGATAGACTGATCTAAATAATTGAGCAAAAAAGTAATCAACTAATTAATTAATTAATCAATTAAATTAGCTGCGAATATCTGAACTACTCTGTTGCAGAAGGCGCTCCTTTCTTATACTCTGTGAGTTTATCGTAGAACTCCTCGACTTTGTCTTTATTCACTCGACACAGGTAAGTTTCTATTTTTTCGTCCTGAAATTAAGTAATTAAGCGAGACTAGTTATGGGTATCCGGGAAGTTATAATATGTATATTTGATAACGTATTGGCCAGTTAACAAGAGCATGTATATTTATTATGGTTATTAATGGACAGTATATTCAATCACGTGATCTTAAGTCATGTTAATTTAGTATCAACTAAATGACTTATGACACCTACCTCTCCAGTGACGACCATCAACAAGCCGTTCTTGCCGCTTTTGCTAACAGGCATGTTCTCATGGAGCAGTGTGTTCAGAATCACTGTTCCCATCGTAGTGTCGTTCCTTATTAGCAGCTGAACCTGGACATGAGTGTGGTGTGATATCACGTGATAACTGGTACTGAATAATAGACATAAAGGAATATGATTTGTTCCAACTCAACTAACATCTGCTCCCGATTGTCAACCAAAATTCCATATAACAGTAGACGCACATCACACATCACACATCACACATCACACATCACACATCACACATCACACATCACACATCCCACATCACACATCACACATCACACATCGCACATCACACATCACACATCCCACATCGCACATCGCACATCGCACATCGCACATCGCACATCGCACATCACACATCACACATCACACATCACACATCACACATCACACATCACACATCACACATCACACATCACACATCACACATCACACATCACACATCACACACCACACACCACACACCACACACCACACACCACACACCACACACCACACACCACACACCACACACCACACATCACACACCACACACCACACACCACACATCACACATCACACATCACACATCACACATCACACATCACACATCACACATCACACATCACACATCACACATCACACATCACACATCACACATCACACATCACACATCACACATCACACATCACACATCACACATCACACATCACACATCACACATCACACATCACACATCACACATCACACATCACACATCACACATCACACATCACAGTACCTTTCCGTTACACTCCTTAAGATTAGCAATACCCAGTCCCTTCTCGTTCCAGCTGTCTCCAGACTTCAGGAAGAGTTTACACTTGATGTGGTACAGAGCTTCCTTATCTACGTGATCTACCTGAGTTAATGTTCAAAATAGGACTTTTTAATAGTTTATTATTGGTGAACTTAGTAGACATTTTAAACATTTAAAAGTAATGTACTTAATTGACATTTTAAACCTTAGCGATGACTTTCTAACAGCATCAGTAAAGATTTGAACATTTTCAATTATTCTGGTGGTGTGAGTGCGTGTCGGAACAAATTACACAAACTACCTACCTTTTCAGGTTGAGGTGGTGTCTCATCCTCAGCTGGTTTCTCTTCTTCTTTCTGCTCTGTTGAGTCGGCTGGTTTTCCCACTAACCCTCCAAACCCTGGAGATGAAAATATTATAGTGCAGTTCTAGTAATTTTAAATTGTTCACATAGCAGATTTGTTTGTACTTTTGTAAGATAGCAAAATTGTTTGTTATAGACAAACATTCAACCAAAATCGAGTAAATAAAAGATTTTCCCGAATATAATTACCTGTGAAAGACGTTGATCCGACAGGTTTCCCAAACAAGGAATTACCCGGAGTATTAGAAGCAGAGGAAGGTTTAAAACTAAAACCCCCACTACTGGGTTGAGTACTATCTGCTGCGGATGTGGTTGGTTTAAAGCTGAATCCCGTGCTGTTCCCCTCACTCGAACCAAACGACCACTTAGGTGTGGTGGACGCTGCGCCGAATGAGAACGCGGGGGTGGCTGCTGTTGACGTGCTGAATGAAAATGGGTTTGATGCTGGTTTCACGGGCTCAACTGTCTCGGATACTGGTTCCACTACTTTTACTTCGTCGCTTGAGGAACTGTCTACTTTGGTGGGGCTCTCTTCTTTTGGTGCGCTGTTGGACAGTTTGAACTCAGGGGAAGATTCCTGGACTGTCTGATCGCTCTGAATCTTTTTCAGGTGCTTCTCATAGTCACTAAATACTGTCGTGAGAATTACAAACGGATTTTTATCCACATGCTCCTTAGCAAACTTGAGCACAGACTGATTTAGTTTCTTCAGTTTTTTCAAGAAAACGTCATTGTCAGCAGGTTTGGCATCTGCTTCTGATTTTGGTAATGAGGTCTCGCTGGATTGTTTTTTATCCATACCAGCTGAGACTGTGATGGGATTGTTTGACGTACTTTCAACCTTCTGTTCCTCAACCGGAGTTTCTGAGTCTGTGCTTTTTGCTCCGAAAGTGAACAATTGCTTGGTGTCGCCGTTAGTGACATTGATTTTAGGGAAAGTTAAACTGGGTTGAATATTGAGGCTGGGAGCAGGTGCCGGTGGGAAACCGGCGAAACCGGAAAATCCAGTAAATAGACCAGCTTTCTGAAATGATTAGTAATTAATTACAAACGTATGAAAGATGTTTCTAAGACCACATCATTCAATATGACCCTCATTTAGAGACCGGATAAACAGCGACAAAGAGATAACACAGTACTTACACTGTCACCATTAGCACTTGCAGGGGCTCTTCTTTTAGCAGTCTTGATTCTGTAGATAGCAAAATACATCTTAGATAAGGACTTTAAGATCACAGTATTGTTATCAAATTTCGATCCTCTGATCGGGCTGTAGAACAGAATAGAGTTCGATTGCAAATCAAGACGATTATGGCCCCTAAAAGCTGACTTACACTCGTTGTTTGATGACATTGTCTGCAGCCTTTGCAAACACTCCTGCCTCCTCCTCCTCCTCCTCGTCTTGCCAATTTCTGTCTGTGAGCTCTTTGTCTGCAACCCGTTTACTCATTCCTGACTGCACTGCTATAACACAATATCATGATATTAATCAGAGTCATTTCAATCATATTTTCTGGGCCGAAAAAGCTAAACTTAATCACCCATTCGCTTCCATAGATACTTTTTTGAATTGTTATGTATACCTACATCCCACCTACATAATACAGCGTGCCATGTTATGGTCAATTATTAGAATTGATGTTAACTCGTCATTTAAGCTATAATCATAAATGAACAGAAAATGCAGAATAAATAGCATCAAATTGTAATAAGATAGAAAAATACAACTGAAAATATACAAATTACATGCATTACTTTTCGTTTTTGCAGAATGATACCTACATAATATTAAGCTGTTGATATATTCAGGCAAGTTCTGATTAAATTAAAACAACTTCCCTTGTTGCATAAATAATAACTTTCAATCTTATCTTGAAAACATAATCCAGAAAGTCATGGAATTAGTATGGGACATTTTCCCCTTTTAAAAAAAGTTCCCATTTTCCCGATTTACGTCCCATACAGTAGAATTAGCAATAAATGATTTCATTTTCCCTTGATACCCTTTGATATCATATTTTCAGAACCCATTCAATTCATTTGGTTTCTCTCACAAACTATCATACAAGGCTCAACACCCCAAGGCAACTTCATGGTGGTAACAACACTGAAGTAATGATGTCTATCGGCCGTATTTCTGAAACTCCCAGTCCCTGTTGTCTAGAGGACACACCTGTCGGGTCTTCAACCACCGTGAGATACAGTGGAAGTGGAACGCATGATTACACACACCCCAAGCTGCTGTACACTCCTGTTTGAGGTATTCCAGTTAGACTTAGAGGAGATTTAAGTTGATGTTTTGTAGTTCTAGAGAATATGATCAATAATTTATATAACTTGATCTTTACTACTAACTCTCGAAAAAATAATAGTGGTAGACATTTTTAAAACTTTTTCAAAAATTTTATTAATCGTAAACTCTAAACAAATATTTAACTCACATCACTGGTGTGACTTGCTTGATTAGCCTGACATTCGATGCACAAATCCATGATATGGTTACGGCAGATTGCACAATTATCAACAAGTATGTCCCAGGCCCAGAGTGCAACTGCGTTCCATTTCTTCACCTGAAATGTACATAGGTATCACAAACAAGGACAAATGTTTTAGTAAATACACATTTTAATCATTAATAATATCAATCATCGTGTACTGAACGGAAAAGAATAGACTTATTGGTTTAGAATCACACCTCAAATCTTTTCTTGTCAGACTTTACGACTGCTGATGATGAAGATGGGGCCTCGTCAATCTCCATTTTTTGTAGAACTATTGAATATATGGAGGCTCAGTTAGGATTTAGATTATACAAAAACTCATTGATTGAAATAAATTTTCGTGCACATACAGAATGAATGGTTAATAATTGACATGGTACAGATAAAATGAGACACTAGAAGAGTAATAGACTCTAAGTGAACCCAGTAACTACCTTCCCACAGTGAAGCACTTACCAAGCAAACTATAATTGTGTACCCTGCCTGCTTCACAGAATGGACAGCAACCTAGTAAGAATTGGAAGTACTACTAAATCAACATGGAACCGCAGCCTAAAGGCCCTGACGATTAGGAGGATCAATAAGTGGTGTGAAGCAGCAGAGCACAGTACAGACTTACATAGCAGAGATTTTAGGAAAAATGATAAACATTTATTTCCCTTATTTGCAGTGGCGTAACGTTTTGGCGCCCCTTCCTAAAATTGAACAAATTAGGTGATTTTAGAGGATATGCCGGTAAAATCTTTAAAAAAGTGTGTTTCTAGAGCAAAACGTGCGAGCACCTCAGTTAAGTTTTTCAAATTGTCCCACATTCAAACGACGATTTTGCGCCCCCATAAGATGGTGCCACTGCTTATTTGATAGGTAATTTTACATCACTGTCACGTAACAGACCTTCATAGATCCCAGATATCTCAATAATTTCACGACTTTCGAAAAATGTTACTTTTTGTATTACATATTAAAGGCGATTGATCAAATCATAAGTTACAAGTTACAACCATTTGAATATTTCCCAAATTATATTATTGCAAATCGCGAAAATCACGCATTTTAATGACCACTGACTATATCAGGTCAAAGTATCACGCACAGTACTATATCCAAACACCTGAACTGCAGAAGACAGAGCTAGGAATGCATATCAGGAATACAATACAAATTAGAGCACTAAATTTGGGTTACGCTGAACACGTAGTTGTAATTTGTATACTATACTTGTTATCTGAGAATTAAGGTAGCGCTCGATTCTTCTAGTATGATCAAACTAAAATATGCGCGGCGCTCTTTATTTAGCACTGAGCAAAGAGTATAATCATTTCGTATTTATAGCATTCTATTATCCAAGCTATAATTAACTTTTATTTTGTTTTTTGTCAACTAAATAATTTATCAATTTCCAATCACCCTTTTAATTAATTACTAAAGTCTAAACCATTGTATTTTGTTTTTGTTATAAATGACAAAATGAATGTTATACATTTATTTATTATTTTAAACCTCGTGATCAATTTAGATTAAAATTTAAATATTGTTTATTGCATTTACCACAGAACTATGAAAAAATAAAAATTATAAACATTAAAAATATATTTAAGCGCATGCAAATAGTGCATTACATTTATTTATTTATTTAATTGCTGTTATACGTATCAATTTATAATGACAAATATCAAATACTGTAGCGCTGCATTATTTGTTTGACCGTTATTCTTAATCGCACGATCAATTAATTCTATTTTGGAAAATTAAGAATCAAAATGGTTTTAGAAATTTTACTTTTAATTTATTAATTTTTAAATTATAGGTATTTGCGTTTTACTGCCGCGCGTTTACACTATGTGCAATGATGAAATCTTTTTCGGATCGAGCGCTAGCAGGGTCCATTATCGCTGAGGAGCGCGCACCTCGTGTTACATTACGAATTTATCGTTTAGCTGGGCGAGCTTTTGAAACCTTCTACATGCCTTCTGTTTTGAACCCTGCTAAGGGGATGCCGAATGATTCCCCTGACGGGCTTGACAAATTCTCTGGAGTGGTCGAAAAGAAGATAAGAAACCTTGAGAAACGAAGAGTAAGTATCAGTCGTATTTGTCCGTCCGTTGGTCTCATATGAATCGTTATTCGTATGTTTCAACTTCTGAAATTTGCCCCACGATTTGCTGCTTCTCTAGTGTCACATCTAATTATTTTAGGCAGCCTCTCGCAAATCGTACAACCGTACAACGCTTAGTTTAGTATAGTAAATAGTCCCCAAGATTCACTCCTAGCATTACGTCTCGAAGCTTCCTTTGCCATGAATTGTTGCTGTTAGATTCACAATGCTAAACTATGCTCTCGTCTGGCTAAATGATTACATTTATCACCTATTTCTAGAGATTTATCTCTATATCCCTCAACCTTTCGATAGCTCTATCATTTATAAATAGTTCATGATGAGCATGCCCTGGATCGCAGATACAGTCTGTGTCACTGACACATTCTGGTGAAAACAAGCATTATTATCTCTAACATTCCCAGCCAGTACAAAGTAACAATCAAGCAGTCAACAGAATCGGGATCATCTTAATCCTGTGTAATCACTCAATTTGTCATGTAATACATTGTAAGTTACTATCTTTCCAGCAAAGATTAACATAACAATTCCGTTTCAGACCAAGATCCTAGTTCTCGTGGATCAGAAGAAAGGCGGAAAGATTCTTGACTCTGACCAAGTTGTAAGTACTGCTGTAAAGGAGATGAGGACAAGGGGAAGAGGAAGGGTAGTTATACATAGTGACTACTACAGGATACTAGGAGGTTTTATGGGGGTGTAGAACATAATTTGGAGGGTTTTAGTAATTTATCCTCCTCTGCCGAAAAGATTGAGGATGATAAATAACTGATATCTTTTTTATTGTTCACAAAGTTATATCAAAAACTTGGCGTCTCCTTGAATTGTGTGTGCCTTGTCTGTCGTCTGTAAACCATAATCTGACTGCTGATCTCTCACAGTGGTCACTTTTCGTGCTTGTTTTGCCACTTTCATTCTGTCCAGATCTCATCCTGCACCACTCTCCTGTTTTACATTATCTATCAGTATGTGTGGGGAAGAAATTCACATCTAAGATTATCGTGCTGTACATAAAAATTGATGTTAATTATTTACTTGATTTTAATTATTTACTTCATGTCATTTATTTATTACGATCGTCCCAAACAAGTTTAATAATCAAGCGGTAACTCCTGAAACGGCCGTTGCACAAGCTCACTTACTATATAATATGTACTGTGTACACATCACCAGTTACCAGTTACTAGCACTGTGCGTGTAATCAAACTTTCAAACACTTAGACCTAAAAGAACAGTGAACTCCCTGTACTGTTATTCCACTAATTACATTATTGCATATTAGCATATTACATATTATTACACATAATTACATATTAACATGGTACATAGGTTGTACTGAGGGATATTCAACGGTTTTAAAGAATTTGTGGGTGCTAAAACGGGCATGTAATCGGGCCGGGGAGGACAGAGTAGGATTGTTCCTGCATGGTTAATTAACCTTATTAAAGTACCTTACTAAAGTACAGATGTATCTGATATATTTGAATGGTTATTGTCCATAACTTTCTGTGTTAATTTGAAGGATGGTTTTGAGCAATTATAATTATTCCCTTTTTCTAACCTAGAACAGTTCACTTATATATAATAATAATATGTCTCGAGTAGTGAAGATTGGAAAATAGAATTATAATCAAATTTGCAGTGGAAAGAAAAAATAGAACATTTTGAATGCATCTTAAACTGTGTTACCTAGTATAGTGACTGAGCTAAGGATGTGAACATTACACATCTGTGTAAAATCGGTTGACTCAGCCGAATGATCGGGAAACCTTGATTTTAGGACTAAATGAGGAACCTTCTAAAAGATCAAGATTTGTTTAGACTTTCCCTTCTATACATCTACAACGTAGATTGTAGTGTCCCGTAAAACATAGTGAAACCCCGATTTACCGCGGAGGTGGAGGAGTCAGGAGGGGGAGGGGGAGAAATCGGCGGTAAATCGGGATTTTGATTGTTCACTCGGCACCAATGTAATTATGGTTTTACCACCGTGTTTTGGTTCAGCCGAAATATGTTTTGCTAATGCTATGCTATAGTGTTTTACATAATTTTTCTCACTCTAGCTGCAGTCTGGTAGTGTTGAGTCTCACGAACATTTTTCCTTCTCATTTTCCATGCTTTTTTGCCTCACAGGAGATATTGTGGTATTTTCTAAATGTAACTGTAATACATTGGATGTAAAGTTATTTGAATTTTGAAATACATATTATACATGTCGATCACAATTTTGGGGAGGGAAATGACCTCGGGAAATCGGGGTTTTACTACGAACTGTTACACTATTTGTGTTGTACCTGATTTTAACGTATTTCAGGCGTCTGTACACAGTTTACCTTTTGTTGAGGCTAATCTGGAGCAGCTGAAAGAGTTCCTACCCCAGTTCAAATCTATCTCTAATGACGTGAGTTTTACAAGTTCATTTATTTTAGTGAGTTTATTCAACAATGGCTTAATGTACAAGTCATCAATATGTTATTAGAATAAGAATTATTGGTCATTTTGCGTCAAAATTTTCAGGACAGTTGCAGTGTTCTTTATTAATGCTTTTCATACAAAGTTACAAAAAATTCTTCGTGTAATGCATCCTGGGTTTGAACAGGATATGACCCGTTTAAAATATATCCATCACGTTACATAATTCTCAATAAATGTAATAGATTTGTAGTGTTGTAATTAGTTAAAAATATTTATAATATTAGACTGATTCGATGTTTGCATTTGAGATAAAACAGTACAATGACTTGGCTGTAATTAAAATACATAGAGAACATGCTAAGATTGGGTTATAGCTATTAGCCAGTGATCCGTCGGAGACATTAAGGTTACTTCTTTTCTGGTGGTTCCTGCTGCTTAATCCGTATTAATTGGTAATTCGGGATCAGAGCTACTGTAGGGGGGGGGGGGGGGGGGCTCATGTTTTTTTGTCCGTTTTTGTCCGTTTGGCAGCTATATTTTCAAAACGGACAAAAAATAAAGCGGACAAAAACGGACAAAAAATAACAAAAATTGAAATAACATTTAGATGCTTCCTCCTCCTCCTCCTCCTCCTCCTCCTCCTCCTCCTCCTCCTCCTCCTCCTCCTCCTCCTCCTCCTCCTCCTCCTCCTCCTCCTCCTCCTCCTCCTCCTCCTCCTCCTCCTCTTCCACCTTCTCCTCCTCCTCCTCAGCCATCCTCCTCAGCCATCCTCCTCAGTCCTCCTCAGTCCTCCTCAGTCCTCCTCCTCTGCAGTCCTCATCATCCTCCTCAGTCCTCCTCCTCCTGGGTCCTCCTCCTCCTCTTCCTCCTCAGTCCTCAGTCCTTCTCCTCAGTCCTCCTCCTCATCCTTTTCGTCAGTACTCCTCCTCCTCAGTCCTCCCCCAGTCCCCCTCCTCCTCCTATTCAGTCCTCCTCCTCCTCCTCCTCAGTTCTCCTCCTTCTCATTCCTCCTTCTGAGTCCTCCTCATTCCTCCTTCTGAGTCCTCCTCCTCCTCTTTCTCCTGAGTCCTCCTCCTGGGTCCTCTTTCTCCTCCTCCTTCTCAGTCCTCCTCCTCCTCCCTCTCAGTCATCCTCCTCAGTCATCCTCCTCAGCCATCCTCCTCAGCCATCCTCTTCAGCGATCCTCCTCAGTACTCCTCAGTCCTCCTCCTTCTCAGTCCTCCTCAGTCATCCTTCTCCTCCTCCTCCAGGGGGATCCTGTTTTTTATCCGTTTTTTTCGTTCGGAACCCTATATTATCAAAACGGACAAAAAATAGAGCGGACAAAAACGGACAAAAACAGACAAAAACGGACAAAAAATAACAAAAATGGAAATAATATTTAGATGCTTCCTCCTCCTCCTCAGTCTTCCTCAGTCATCCTCCTCCTCCTCCTGAGTCCTCCTCCTGGGTCCTCCTCCTCTTGGGTCCACCTCCTCTTCATCCTCCTCCTCTTCCTCCTCAGTCCTCAGTTCTCCTCCTCAGCTCAGTCCTCCTTCTCAGTCCTCCTCCTCATCCTTTTCCTCAGTCCTCCTCCTCAGTCCTGCCCAGTCCCCCTCCTCCTATTCACTCCTCCTCCTCCTCCTCCTCCTCCTCCTCCTCCTCCTCAGTCCTCCTCCTCCTCAGTCATCCTCCTCAGTCCTTCTCCTCCTCAGTCCTTCTCCTCTTCCTCCTCCTCCTCAGTTTTCCTCATATTCCTCAGTCCTCCCCCAGTCACCCTCCTCCTCAGTCCTCCCCCAGTCACCCTCCTCCTCATCCTCATCCTCCTCATCAGTCCTCCTTCGCCTTCTCAGTCCTCCTCTTCAGTCCTCCTCCTCCTTTTCCTGGTTCCTCCTCCTCAGTCCGCATTCTCCTCCTCAGTCCTTCTCAGTCCTTTCCCCAGTCACCCTCCTCCTCATCCTCCTCATCAGTCCTCATTCTCCTTAGTCCTCCTCCTCAGTCCTCCTCCTCCTCCTCCTGGGTTCTCCTCCTGGATCCCTCTTCTCCTCCTCAGTCCTTCTCCTCCTCCTCAGTTATCCTCCTCCTCCTCCTTCTCTTCCTGGGTCCTCCTCCTTCTGCTCACCAGTCCTCCTCCTCAGTCCTCCTCATCCTCTTCATCCACTTACTTCTCCTCCTCATCAGTCCTCATCAGTCCTCCTCCTCCCAAGTCATCCTCCTCCTCCTGGGGCCTTTTCCTGTGTCCTCCTCCTCCTGGGTCCTCCTCCTGGGTCCTCCTCCTCTTCCTTCTCCTCAGTCCTTCTCCTCCTCAGTCCTTCTTCTCTTCCTCCTCCTCAGTCTTCCTCCTCCTCAATCCTTTCCCCAGTCACCCTCCTCCTCATCCTCATCCTCCTCATCAGTCCTCCTTCTCCTTCTCAGTCCTCCTTCTCAGTCCTCCTTCTCCTCTTCTTCCTGGTTCCTCCTCCTGGGTCCTCCTTCTCCTCCTCAGTCCTCCTCCTCTTCCTCCTCCTCCTGGGTCCTCCTGATCCTCCTCAGTCTTCTTTCTCCTTCTACTCCTCAGTCCTCCTCCTCCTCAATCCTCCTCTTCCTCCTAAGTCCTCCCCTCCTCAGTCCTCCTAAGTCCTCCCATTCTCAGTCCTCCTCCTCATCAGTCCTCTTCACCAGTCCTCCTCCTCAGTCCTCCTTATCCTCATCCTTCATCTCCTTCCTTCATCTCCTTTCTCCTCCTCATCCTCCTCATACACCTCCTCCTCATCAGTCCTCCTCCTCACTGCTCACTCCTTCTCCTCCTCCTCGTCCTTAGTCCTCTTTATCAGTCCTCATCAGTCCTCATCAGTCCTCCTCCTCCCCAGTCCTCCTTTTGGGGCCTTTTCCTGGGTCCTCCTCCTCCTGGGTCCTCCTCCTCTTGGGTCCTCCTCCTCATCCTTCTCCTTAGTCCTCCTCCTCCTCAGTCCTCCTCTTGAGTCCTTCTTCTCCTCCTCCTCCTATTCATTCCTCCTCCTCAGTTCTCCTTCTCAGTCTCACTCCTCCTTCTCAGTCCTCCTCCTCTTCTTCCTGGTTCCTCCTCTTGGGTCCTCCTTCTCCTCCTCAGTCCTCCTCCTCTTCCTCCTCTTCCTGGGTCCTCCTGATCCTCCTCAGTCTTCTTCCTCCTTCTACTCCTCAGTCCTCCTGCTCAATCCTCCTCTTCCTCCTAAGTCCTCCCCTCGTCAGTCCTCCTAAGTCCTCCCCTTCTCAGTCCTCCTCCTCATCAGTCCTCTTCACCAGTCCTCCTCCTCAGTCCTCCTTATCCTCATCCTTTATCTCCTTTCTCCTCCTCATCCTCCTCATACACCTCCTTCTCCTCATCAGTCCTTCTCCTCCTCCTCCTCCTCCTCCTCGTCCTTAGTCCTCTTTATCAGTCCTCATCAGTCCTCATCCGTCCTCCTCCTCCCCAGTCCTCCTCATGGGGCCTTTTCCTGGGTCCTCCTCCTCTTGGGTCCTCCTCCTCTTGAGTCCTTCTTCTCCTCCTCCTATTCATTCCTCCTCCTCAGTTCTCCTTCTCAGTCTCACTCCTCCTCAGCCCCCCTCCTCTCCCTCCTCAGTCCCCCTCCTCAGTCCCCCCTCCTCCTTTTCCTCTCTTTTATCTCTCAATAATTTGTTCAATTTATAATTATTGTTGGTGTTATTGTTAACATAATTTATTGTTATACCGTATACTAAAATGTTTTTAAGCGCATTTGAGTCTGACTCAAAATGTGCTCAAGAATCTTTGTGTTTAACAAAGTTTTACTCTCCAGTAATAAAACTTTTCATCCCTTTTTATGTTATTAAAAAATGTGTAGACTATTCTTTGTGCCTAATTGAAGATTAAAAGTTTGAGAAAGGACCATGGTCATTAACCGGGCTACCCATTTCTGCAGATAGCCTGTTACAAATTGTGGAGAAAATTTAAATCAAAAGTTACAATTTTTGTCCGTTTTTGTCCGTTTTTGTCCGTTTGGCAGCTATATTTTCAAAACGGACAAAAATTAACGGACAAAAACGGACAAAAAATAACATGATCCCCCCCCTACTGTAGTCTCGCACGGTGCTTCAAGCCTGCATACTTATTATTTGATGTCGTATCTAGTCGTCAGATCACTTGGATGCCTCGTGTCTGCCAGCCGCTCTAGTAGTTCAACATAGCAGAACTTACTCACCTTTTTTAATAGCTTTGTTGTCCCCCTTTTGTTTGAGAAGCTTAACTGATACTGTGTGAACATTAAGGCCAGAGGGGGGGGTAAATGGCACTTTTGTAGTTTTTGCATATTTGATAATAGCTACTGGAGACGAACAAAAAGAAAAAAACCGGATCAAAATCTGACCTTGCGCTTCTGAGATATCGCGCGCTCAATTTTGAGGTTTACCTGTAATTACATGTTAAACTGGAACTTTAAACGGCTGTAACTTTTTTGACCTTTCGATTCCTTAGTTGAGAAAACCGGCCAATCCCTGATCTTGAGGTTTGGTACAGTGGTTCCTTGGACAATTATCCTCACATCTGGTGCAGCGATTTTTTTTATTTGACTCTGTTCTCAAATTATGAGGTTAACCAGGTCAAAAATTCGAAAAATTTAATTGGTTAACCTCATAATTCGAGAACTGAGTCAAATAAAAAAAAATCGCTGCACCAGATATCTAGATAGTTGTCCAAGGAACCACTGTACCAAATCTCAATATCAGGGGGTGGCTGGTTTTCTCAACTAAGGAATTGTAAACCACAAAAGTGTGTTTTGAGATAAATGCATTTTAGTGTTATCAAAATTTTGAATATTCACTGGAATGTATCACAGTTCGTTAGTTAGGACTTTTTATACTCTTAATAACGTTTGCTTGATCAGACCTGGCCGTCCCCTAAATGATTTTAGCCACTTTCAGTAGTTAATGTCCTTGTATTGTAAAAAATGAGGTTAACCAAGACTTCCTGTAAACACTAACTGCTTAAAATTTGGTTGTTAACCTCACTTTAGACCATATAACACTGGGATTGGTTTATCAATATGTTATTATATATGTAGTAAAACATTTGCACAGTATAACGATTAAGTTTTTGAGGTTAACATGTAATTGACTGGTCAGATATTCAAAAAATGAGAGGTTAACCTCATTTTTTAGCCATTTACGGGTAAAATCTTCTACTAAAATATGGTCAGTTCAAATCACCTTTGTCACATGATTATAGTTGTAGGCATTGTGATACCAATAGATACCTCACTTCGATATTGTGGTACATTACATAAGTAAGAATCGTATGTA